TTAATCAAGGACTCACACATAGATTCCCTTCAAAATCACAGAAAATATGAAGATGAGCACAGATCAAATAATATTTTTTTCTGAATAGAATGTACCGTAGTCAAAATGAAAAACAAATCTAGCAAAAGAAGTATTGGGTATTAGCGTCTGGACAGCCTGTGAAAAATCTGCCACTTTCTGCAGATGGCATTGGTGAGCTGGTGACAGAGGTGCTCTATTAGAGATGAGAAGCCTGCCTGTGACGTCACCTCAACATTGCTTTGTTATGGTCACGGCATTGTGAGACATTGGCCAAATAATAATTGTACCATTCTTTAAAAGTAAGCCGGTGACCAGCAAGCCTTGACTGGACAGAACAGATATTTCTAGTCGATGCTTTTCACTGGCAAACTGAGAATCCAGTCCCTCCATCAAGGGGTGAGAATCCAGCAGGTTGATGTCCCAGCAGTACACTCCTGTGTGTATCGCAAGTGATCACATTAGAACAGACAAGCTGTGAAATGATCTTAAATGCTGAGTACACCCGTATGTTACGAGATTCACCTAATTTGGTTTTCAGAAAAATATTCAAGGACTCTACGTAACTGAATGGAGAATCCAGCTTAGTGTGTTCCAACAGGGTTTGCACTGTTATTTGTTGTTGTTATATGTTGCTGTAGGTTTCCCTCCTTAAATGAGCACTCAAGGCTTTAGTTTTAAAGGATTGATTCAAACAGTTTGAAAATACTTTATTTGACTTTGTCTAGTCTTATGATTATATTACCTTGACTGGGTCTTTAAAAAAAAGATATATTACATTCTACTGTATGTAATTCTTTGCAACTTTGGTTAAATTGCTAAATAATTTAAAATCTATTAATGGGCTTTTAGAATTTTTGTGTTCAACTCTCCCATTTCCAATTGGGATTTGTTTTTGTGTTGGGTTATTCAGTGAACAAATGCACATTAATGGATATGTAATAAATAGGTGTAACACTACTTCTATTCACAATGTCATCTTTTATATTTTATTATTCATATTAGTCGTAGTCATAGTTGTTTGCAAAACAGGTAGTACCATAAATGAATTCAAAGTTTTTAAACATGTTGTAACATACTTATCAATAATTTAGCTATTACCAATTGAATTAGCTTTAGAAGTTCTTTGTTCTGATTATCTTTTGAGGTCATGAACAAAAATATTGGATGGTAGCAGGTTCTTTATGGCTGCCCTTAAGCTACGTCTTTTTCTCAGGAAATGTTTTTCAAATCAGATTTTGTCAGGAAAGGTTTATGTACTAATGTTATTATTTTGTGCTTGAGTATAAGTTATCTTTAAAAATACTTTGTTGTGTTTGTTATGAGCATGGTGTACAGATTGCAGATAAGATATCACAAAGTTAGTTTGGTGACTAACTGGAATCAAAATGACATTGAATTGTATTTCTTGAATTCATATTTTTTTCAATACAGTTTCAGTCAAGCTAGGGTAAGTGAGCAGATTCCTAGTTTAATAATAATTGTTTATAGGGTAAGCGAAAGTCCTAACTTCCTGTAATTGTAGTTCAAGTAGTTAGATGCGTTCAAGTAGTTCAAGTAGTTAATTGTAGTTGAAGTAGTCAGCATGCATAGAGTGCAAAAGAACAAGTAAATCAAGTTTGCCATGCTGAAAGGAGAAGGAAAGAGGCACAGTGTTTCGGCTGTGGAGTTTTCTTCAGGTGTCAATCACCAATCATTATTCCTTTTTTTTTCACAAATTCATCACATCTCTGATGTGTTATTTGCTGTTGCTTTATTAAGCATGGAGGGTTCATTGTCAGGTTTTTAGTTTAATTAGAATTACACACTTTCTCTAAGTCCTGAAGAAGGCTCCACAGTGGAAATGTTTCTTTTCTTCTCTTTTCAGAATGGAATAAACCTTTACTTGTTCCTGTAATTGTGGCTTATACAGATGCTCGTTTGTCGATAATATTTCCCAATTATAGAGTTTATTAATTGCAGTTTTAAAAACTATATTTTCATGTTCATTTAATATTTTGCTTGATTCCAATAGGTCGCTGAAATTGAGAAGGAATTGCAGCCGATCAAGGACAGAATTTCCCATGAAGAAAAGGCCACAGTGAAGTTTGATCAGAAAGTGGAAGAGTGGAAGGTTAACTTTTTTGATTGAGTAATTGTGGTTAATTATCTTTAGTTTACACAGTTTTTTAGAAGTAGTAAATAGAATAAATTATATTTATGTTTTATTTGAGGATCTAAGTGTCTGTGGAATTTAGGGTAATGATATTGTAGCATTCATTGATTTTGAATATACTGTAGGCCTCATTCTGTTTGAAATGTTGCCACCAAGAATCTGCCATGTCTTACTTTGTACTTGCTCTGCAATTGGTTTGTAGGTTTTGTTTTTACAGAGGCCTTGATTTCTTTCTTACTGGAGAGGGAATTACAGCAGGGAATATTTAATACAGGAATGCATAAACCAAGTATTCAGATGATTGTGTTACACAGGTTGTCTTGCCTTTGTATTCTATTAACAAGTCAGTTCTGAAACATTGTGCACATTGTGTAGGCAGATCCTTTGAAGCAGTTTCTTTTTTTCCCTAGGAAAAGGTGGATCAAGCTGAGAAGAAATATAAAGAGATCCATGGTCAGCTGGAGAACATCACTGAGAGGGTCCGCGTTCTGGATCCACAGTGTTCAGCTCTGAAGAGTGAAGCACAGGCACGGAGCAAAGCGTGCAAAGAAGCTGAGGTGAGTTTGAAAAGACTTAAAGCCACAAAGAGGAACTGACACTCATATAGATAAAGTCACCCTCCCCACCCTTCGATTGTCCCGGTCAATTGTACCTGATGTTTTTGTAATGTTTACAGCCATCCATCCATCCATCCATCCATTTTCTAATCGCTTTATCCAAACGACTGTAAGGGAGCCAGGGTTTATCCTGGCAAGCAATGGACACTGTCCATCTCAGGGCTAACACATACATAAACACTCTCACTCCAAGGCCAATTCATTATGTCTTCGGACTGTGGGAAGAAACTGGAGCACCCAGTGGAAACCCACATGAGCACAAGGAGAAACAAAGCAGGAAATGGACCAGGGACCCAGTGCAATTCTAACCACTGCGCAGCTATGTTGCCTGGATGTTCACAGCCATTTTGTGTTTCTGTTCATTTCACTGCAAGTTGTTTTAACAGTTGCTCCTACTTTGGAAATGGTACTACGGTACTGATGTACTAAATGAGTATTTCAAATAGCTACTAAAGAAAAAAATCAACTACCTCCTTCAGGCAGTAGAATGATAAAGTTCTCCATTAAATAGTTTTAACGTAGGAGAGGGAGACATGTTTTGGGAACCAGAAGCACTGAAGATGAATAAATCTCCATGGTCAGATGGAATCCTATGAATTGTATATATGGAAACAAGACAGGTTGCTTAGGCATTTGTACAGCAATTGCTAATGTGCTGCCCTTCCATAAAATGGGTGATAATATTGAACCAAGTGATTATAGACAATTCTGACCATTACTTACAAGGTTATGTAAACAACTTTCAAAACCAATCTAGGGGATCAGCTTTATAGAAATAGGACTTAAGGGGAGCATGGATTTAGAAAATGCATGTCATTCTTAACTAACTTGTTATGAGGTTTTTGTGCAAGCAACAATCAAACACAGAGTATATAGTGTATTTAGATTTTTTGGAAGGCTTTGGATGAAGTTCTTCAAAAAGGATTGATTCTTAAATTATAGGCGGTAGTCATCTGGGGACGTGTGTGATAGAAAATGTGTGTTAATTGAATATGGAGAATACAATACGAGGTGAATTCTCAGATTGGGCAGATTACTTTTAATGTGGACAGGTGCAGGAGATTTCATGCAGGTAGCTAAAACATAAATTGTAAATACAAAGTGGGAATTACTGATCTTGTAGAGGCTACTTAAGACAAAGACTAAAGTGTTTATATTGATATATTATTAACGTCTTCTAGACAGTTCAGGGAAGCAGTACAAAAAATACAAAAAATATTAAGATGTATAGTTTGAAGGGTAGAATTGTCGCCAATGGGTGCTATGTTTAAATGGTAAAAAACAATAGTAAGACCATGTTTTTTTGTCACCAAATTACAAAAAAACGAATTTGCTGGTCTGGAATCGGCTCACTGAAAATCCTCCGATGCCTTCTGGATTTTAAGAAAATGTTCCACACCAACAGGTTAAATAAACTGAATATTTGTAGTCTATTCAAAATCATTTAGAACATTGGCAAAATCAACCTAGTGGAATTTCTAGGAATAAATCGTGAAACGCCAACTGGAGGGCAAAGTGGCAACAATGGTGCATGTAAAACTGAGAAAAAGAGGTACATCTTTGTACGAACAGTTGTGGAACTTCGGAACAAGCTACCCAGACATATTATTGAAGCTTATACCCTGGTTTCTATATAAAGAAATGGCTGGATCAGATCCCTTAGTCAAATAGCTACTAACTCTTCAGTGAGTCTGATGGGCCAAACTGCCTCCTCTCTTTTATAATGTGTTTTCTATGGTCCTCTTATTTTTTTTCTCAGAATTAGAACAAAATGAGCTATGCTTCTTGTTTTAACATTGAGTAAATGTGTGATTTGTTTGAGCTTCATCATGGGCTGATTCCCATATTCTAATGCCTGTATTCTTATCCGATTCCTTTATCAGTCTGCATATCATCGCTGTAAGACTAACTTGAAGCACTTGGAGAAGGACAAAGAGCAGCTGACAAAGCACATTGAGGAGCTGAAGTACAGGTATTTCCACACTTGTCATTCATTATCTTCTGGTCTGGAGACATTGAATTAAATTTAACTTTGATAAGTAAAAAAGGTGATCCAATCTGTGACTAAGAACGTCCAGTACACATATTGCATTCAGAGCTGCTAGAAGATACATGAAAGAAATCATCCATGTGGGGAAGCAAGAAAAGCAAATACAGTGCTTGGGCATATACAGTGCCATCCAAAAGTACTGGGACAGCAAAGTCAAAACGTATAAATGTTCGATTTTTCACTCTTCTCTCCTGGTGAATTCCTTGGTTGCCTGGGCCCTATGTTTTGGGTCAGTTAGGTCAGGAGAGTTTTAGAACTTTGATCAACATATGAGACCAAGATAATCCTTAACCAGGGTGATGGAAAGCTTATAGTGTGGATAATGAAAAGCTCAAAGTTGCAGACGATATTTACTTAAGTGAGTACTGAATTTGATCTCAACATAGTAGGAGCGTGAGAAACTCGAAAATGTTATTTACCTGCAACCTGTTCAATAAAATGTCGTCTCTCAATAGCGCAAGTCAGTCCACTGAGGTGGACCGGCGGGAAAGACTGGAGAGAATTGCCACTCTTGAGGACCAGCTAACGTCTTTAGGCCAGCAAGACGATACTTTAGGCCAGCAGCTGGACCAGTTTCGACAGGTGGTTACGAAGTACAAAGAAGAGCTTGCGAAGATGAGGTGTGTCAGTCAGCGTGGCGGTGTGCCTGCTGTCACACAATAGCATCTGGCATAATGGTTACCTTTATCCCGTGTTCCTCCATGCTCATTTTACATTTCATTCACTTGTCTTAGTCGCGAAGAGAGAGATCTTCAAGCGTTGACGAATGCCAAAAGGAGGGAACTGAGTGCTGTGGAGGCCAGCAGAACGGATAAAATTAAGAGATTTGGGGAATATATGCCTGCTCTTTTAAAAGACATTGATGAGGCAAACAGGAGAGGAGTATTTAAAAAGAAACCTGTGGGACCTATTGGTAAAGTCCCATAATTTTTTATGTGTTTCTGATTGTTTTCTTTTTCCCTACTCTAAATACTTTAGTATAGTGGAAGACATAAAGGCCTTGTATAGCACATCTTTTTTATAGTTACATCTGTGCTCTGTTTTGTGCATATTTTTTTCTCTCAAGTGCCTTCAGCCTAATTGTACGTCAGTTGTTAGTCTACTATTATTAAATCATGGTATGATGTAAAAAATGCAATTATTTTTTTCTTTGTTTAATCAGCAGCCACCATTTTTGGTTTCTTTATTGAATAGTCCATGCACAGTATAGTGGATTTTGAAATATGTTTTTCAGGATTCTGCATACGGCTTAAATACCCTGACCTTGCGTTAGCTGTAGAGAGCTGTCTGAAGGGACTTATGATGGCCTTTTGTTGTGACAACTACAATGATGAGAAGATTCTGCAGACAATTATGTCTCGGTACTACAATCATGGGAGAAGACCACAGATTATTGTGAGCGCATTTTCAAACACCGAGTACAACACAAGACATAGGTATGATTTGATTTTTGTTATGTTTATTTAATGATTTGATTTTTTTAAATAATGTTAGAACACTGCTTCTTGTGTTGTTTTCAAACATCCTTGTGATGTGATGTTCTTTGTGACCTTAGAAGTCACCTTCTGTCCATTTCATGTTTAAAATGTTTTTTTAGTAATGTCCTTCTTCATAAATGAGCATGGAATTTTATTTTTCTTGAAAGTAATGCACCTAACACTGTAGAGCTTCTTAGTGTCTTAGTTTTAATTTGAAATGACTGAATGTGGTCTTGCTCAGAATTCAACGGCAGTTGCTCAGTTTGCCAAGTTTTAATCACATTCAGAAAATATTGGGAATGTGAAGTTATACAATTCTTACGTTCTGCCATGTCCTTTTGAAAGAATTAGGATCAGTGATATTTAGCTCTTTATTTTGATACGCTTCCAGTTTGGTCCAGTTGCAAACCCGACCCTGTTACCTGCAAACCGAGTTTATGTTTTCGGAATAATGCACTTGTCCGAGCCTTTCTCCCTTCCACACAGTGCATAGTCCTCAGTCCACTGTGTCTTACTGCCTGTCCTGTGCTTGCAAGCGCCTGAAATATCAGCTGAAGTCATTTGTCCAGCTAACTGATGATACTCTGGCTATACTAAAGCTCACTCATTCTTCGTGCTACAGCTGAGTAGTAACAGAATTGAAAACCACACCTTTACTGATTGAGTCATTCAGGGAGCCACAATGTGACCCATTAAACAAAACTCTTATCTTCTGTGCAGGACTGCTTTTAGAGATCATGAATGCATTTTATTGACCCAAGGAGGGGTGAACATGACTGTTATACTTTTGTGAAAATGTCACTTCTTTAACATTTGAAGTTGGCTAAAACTGATTGGAACTTACCGTTTATATCAGAAATTTACATCAACATTTTAAAGATGTTTGGGTCAGATGAATCAGAATAAATTCTCAGAATTCCTTACATTCAATGTAATTCGAATGACTCATAGAATGATCAGCGTTATTTTTGCCAATGCAACTCTGAAACTTGTTAATAAGCAAAATACTGGAGTGTAAATTTTACAGTGTTCAATTTAATGAAAAAAACTTTGCAGGTGGTTGATACTTTTTTTCTTCAAGAAATAGTTCTTAATCAGATGTCTGGGGGAATTTCTATCAGACAGTATATATGATCAACAGTTTTTAATTAGAGCCGTGTGAAACTAGAATGGTGTTATGGCCATGTAGCGCTGGGGTCCTGGGTCAGTTCCTGGAGTGCTAAACATACACTGTTAGCTTAATTAGCTTCTGTAAAAACTGGGCCTGGTATGAGTGTGTCAATGTCTGTTTGTCTCCTGCGATAGACTGGCGTTGGACAGGCTCAAGGCCACCGTGTCCCTGAATTGGATAAGTGGTCATTGAAAGTGACATGTAAAACTAACATTAGGCTTTTCTTTTTAGGGCTGTGAATCACCCAGAATTCCCATCGGTTCTTCAGGCTTTGGAAATAGAGGATCCAGTCATAACAAATTGTCTTATAGACATGAGGGGGATAGAGACAGTCCTCCTGATTAAAGTATGTCTTTTCTTTTAACTATGCATTATCGTCACAAATGTTTTTGCAACCCTTTCCTTCTGAAATGCTGCAATTCAAGGGAAGGTCTTTAACATTGAAACTTAAAAATGCACTTGTGGTCTTTCTTCTGTATTTGAATCGCGTAAACAAGAATACTCTTTTTGTAGTAGAAGAAAAAGGCGTCGATTCTTCTTAGAAAAGGCGCGATTCAAAGCGTTTAAGGGTTAATGACAAAATTCCTTTTTTTGTGAGGTGTTTTGCCTGCACAGATTTTCGTAGTTAAAATTTGAGCACCAGCTGGTTGAGCCATGCGTGTCTTACTGAGCTCATTCTCAGGCAGCAGGCATTTCCCCAGAGTTGATGTTGCATCATAAGGCTTTGGTGTCCTGTGGCTAATAAAGTGTCTTGAGCGTGAACCAGGAGAGCTTGAACATTCGGGCTCAGTCTGCACTCTGGGCGACCGTCTTTAGTCGTTGAGCCATTTCAGATGCCTTGCTTGTTACTTTAATGCCTTAGTATGGACTTCACCTCAAACCAAAATGATAAGTTTATTAATCCTTTCAAAGCAGTGCGGGCTGCTCTCCAATTTTACTGTTAAACACAAATGATGATATTGTGTTGTTAGAACAACAAAGACGCCCGTCAGGTGATGCAGTGTGGAAGTCCCCCAAGGAACTGCCGTGAAGCTTTTACCCAGGATGGAGACCAGGTCTACACCAACCGCTACTATTCCAACGAGCACAAGAGGGCGCAGTACTTGAGTGGAGATTTAGAGGAAGAAATCAGGTTCGTATGGAATTGACCAAATTTACTGCAGTCCGACTCATTTTTGTATAGGCCTTCTACACAATTTATAGTAGGAAGTTGCGATTTAACCCTGATCTCATTTAAGAGCTAATCAGCATTTAGCTTGTTGTGTTTTCACGTAACTAGTAACATGGTACAAGCAGATGATCTTCACTCTCAGTTCTGAATGCTGATTGTAATCTTATACATCTTACTGATATCACCATTATGTTTTGGATTTTTTATGCATTTGGTTTTTAAACATGACCAGCTATGTAGATATTGTTAATAATTTTGTTTTTCTCTGTATGGGTAGATTAAAAGTTTTTCATGAAGTATTTGGTATTCACATTAATAATAATTAATATTAATAATCTTAGTGTGGAATTAACACTTCTTCCACAGGCATCGGAGAGCAGAAATAGAAAATCAGGTGGCACACATCGCAAGGTTCAAACAGCAGATACGTACTATAGAGGAGGAGATCCGTCGCAATGAGAATCTGCATCGAAAAACACTGGAAAATCAGAAAAACACAAAGGTGATTCATTTTGTGTACTACTCATGATCTCTGGTTGATATTTTAACTGCAATTATTTTTATAGGATCAGAATGATTTTTGAACTATATTTTATAAAACGTCACATCACTTTCACTACATCACAGCTTATCCAATTCAGGGACAAGGTGGGCAGCATTGGACACCATTCCATCATAGAACACGGATACAAACACGCACACACTCACACCAGGGCCAGTTTTTACAGAAGCCATTAACCTACTAGCAAATCTTTGTACAGTACACTTATACCTCAGTATCCGAAACTAATTTGTTCCTTAAAATCTGTTTGGAAGGCGAGAGAATGTAAATCGAAAATAAAAATTCCATTATTTCTTATGGGGAAAATTCCACCCCATTCCGAACTGAAGACACGGTCACTCAAAAACCACCCTGAACATATAATACCATACTGACTATTATAGCAAGCTTAGTGAACAACACAGTTCTACTCAAATAAGCCAACTATAGCTTTAAAATAATGGCAAGATATCATATTTACATTTTTCATTCTTTCGTAATAAATCGCTATCCGAGCGATCGGCTAGAACGATGTGCATACTATTGATGACTATTATGCTCAAAATAATATTTTTCTCTTCCTTAGGGCCCATAATGAACAGCAATTACAAAACAAACACAAAAAAACACTTTGAAAATGAGAGCACAAGCTTTCGCTATGATCGTAAACAAAGGACTGCTACCTCACAGTGTCCTTAACAGTAATGCTTTGCGCCCACGCAGAAACAAACCGCTGTTCAGTGGCGCTGAATTCAAATGTTCGCGGAAAGTTCTAGGCCAGAGTTGGTCATTTACGAACTTCAAAGTTTAAATAAGGGAAATTTTGTTCTTATAATGCACTAAAAGGTACAAATTCTTCACGTCAGGGTTAGCGAAAATTCGTATACCGAACGTTCTTAAACCGGTATGAGTGTACTGTGGGAGAAAACCAGAGCATTTATAAAATGTGTACATTTTAAAATACAAATGTTGTGGATTAAAAGGGCTGCTTTGTTATAAGGAAAGCTTTACAGAAAAATGCACAATATTAAAGATGTCCAGATATATTATGTTGAAAAAGGAAGAAAGAAAACACAACGTTTCGGCTCTGGAGCCTTCTTCAGGTGCTCACGCCTGAAGAAGGCTCCACGGCCGAAACGTTTGTTTTCTTTCTTCCTTTTTCAGCATGGAATAAACCTATTACTTGTTCCTTTGCAGCCTATAATAAATCTCTATAATAGATCTCTAATAGACTGATTTCTGCTGATTGATTCTTAAATAAAATTTTCAGTGTGCATATTGTCAAAAGGTCACCAGTGCTTAGGGACATAAAATAAACTTTATAACTGTTTCTCTAAAAGCCATAAACAGTTTGTTGATGTTTTTGTTTTATTATGTTCATCCTTCATGCTTTAGTCTTCTTTCCTATACAGGAAAAAGCTAGAAAAATAAAACTGGAAATTACTGATCTACAAAACACTGAGGAACCCCAGTCAGAAGACATAAGTGCACTTGTAAGCTTAATGTTTGTATTTTAGTGTCTTTGAAATGAGTAGAAATAGAGTTTAATATTGCAATTCATAATAGTAATACAATGATTTATATATTAAAATGTAATATAATTGTTTGTTAGCCTTGTTCAGGTGGTAACATGTAAGCTACAATGCTAAAGTAAGGCTGGGAACTGCTTGCAAAAAAAAGAATGTTGACTATCAGGGCAACATTCTTTTTTTTAATTCAAGTTGAATGATACTTTCAGTTTTATCCACTTTATCTATGGTGTTACATTTTGTCTACAGTTAACATTTACAGTTAATTAGTAAGATTCAGAGCAAAAAAATAAAACCTTTACAGTGTACTTTTGAAATGTATGTTGATGGTTTTTGTTGCGATTTTAGCATTGCAATCCTTTGCTGGGTAAGTAATGCAGTGGCGTTTTTTTTGTAATGAAAATATAACTCATTGTTTGGCACAGGAAGAGGAGTCTCAGGACATCAGCAACAAACTGGAAACTGCTTTAAAAGAATCCGAGGATGCCCGAATGAAGATGCATGAGCTCAAAAAAGCTTTAGATGAAGCTGAACTGAATTATAGAAAGCACAGGGAAGACATAAATAACATAAGAGAAGAAGCAGATCCAATCAAGGTAACTTCATGATTGTAATTGTTTTTAGATGCTGTAACCTTGTATGAAATGGTTGTTACTGAACTCCAGTGTATTGTCTTATTAGTGAATTCAAAAACTTGGAAGGGTATGAAGCTTGTAGTTGAAAATAGGTATTTAGGTATACCTAGCTTTTTTGGGTACTTGTAGTTCTAGGCAGTCTGCTTCAAAAATACCATCGGGTCGTTTGTTGAGAATACCCTCCAATTTTTATATAAAAAAATGTATTTTCAAGGCTTTTAGGACAAACCTGCCTTTACGGAGAAAATAGAAATGTGTGTATTCACCTCCGTAAATTAAGCACAATTAGTAACGCGCGGGAAAATACGGATTTTAACAGCAGATGCCATCATCTCCCATGTGCTGGAAAAAGAGCTGGGGGTACGAATCGCCAGGGTGAATAATAGCCCCCCCACAACAGGCTTGTGTAATGGTAAGAAGGCAGTAGGCCATGAAATAGTCCTTTTTTCATCCTGCTGTTCACTTATTTTTACTGTTGGCTACGTCTCATTCCTGCTGCAATTAGAGTGAGTGGCCAAGATGAGGGGGGCAGTGTTTGTCTCACATTGCCTTGTAATGGTTTTCTGATAGAAACAACGTAAGACTTTGATTTCCAGAATGTTTAACAAATTGATAAATGTTACAGTTGTAAAATTGTTAAAATTGTAAATTTAACAGTTACTGGAAATTATATTAGATTTCAAAACTCAAAAACACTTCACTTCATTTTGCAATTTCTCATAGAAACATCCAGAATTAATTATCCATCGAGGCTTAGCCACAAAGACCAGGTTCCACCACAAAAGGTTTCTGAAAACATTCCATGTGTAGTGCGTTTCGCCCAACAGTTCCGACTCCTTTTCCTGTCTATTCTTTTAAACAACCTGAGACATTCGTACACGCTCGGTCTACAATTATAATCTACAACAGTCCTTTGTTTCTGAGAACAGTATCTGCAGTGGGTCATCGTGTGGATTCAAATGCATTAGTATAAATCCTGAAGTCCGAGTTGTTGGGCTGAATGGAGCTCATGTACTGTATATATGATCATAAAGCAGGATCTACTGCCTTTTACAGAAGCTATTAATTCCTCAAGATAGAGGATGGGGTAGTTGCTCCTTTCTTTGGGTACCAGGAAGTAGGTAGAGAGATAAACGGCGGAGCGGAGCAGTGGCTCTGTGGCTAAGGATCTGCGCCTGTGGATGGAAGGTTGCCGGGTCAAATCCCGTGGCTGGCAGAGGAATCCAGGGGTGCTGTACAATGGCTGACCCTGCGCTCTGTCCCCAACCTTCTCTCCCTGTCTGTGTGCCTGTGTGTCTCATGGAGAGCAAGCTGGGGTATGCGAAAAGATGAATTCCTAATGCGAGAAATGTTATATGGCCAATAAAGTGATCTTATCTTATCTAAATGTAGTCTAGTGGTGACAGGGTTGCTGAACCCAGGTGGCTTTCAGAACACAAAATAGTGTCCTAGAGCAGTGGACAGCTGTGATTCTTACAGCGTGACTTTGACATCTGGATCAGGACGGTGAAGCCTTGTCTCAGTTGGCAATAACAGCTCTATCCCTAGTAACCTATTTTTCTGGCACCTTTAGATGCACATCCTTCTACCAGAGGAGCCTTTTCAGGTACCCATTTTGTTTCTCAGTGATATTTTGTGAACTTTTTCTTACAAGGACGTCTTGTGTTTCAACAGGAGGAACTTAGCAAAACTGATCAGGAAGTGGAAAGAAGTAAGCACCACAAAAAGCATTACGAAGAAAAAAGAAAGGCACATTTAAGTGGAATTCAAAGACTGAAGGCAGACCTGGAGACAAAAGAAAAGCAATTGCAGGTATGTTTTAACATCAGCCAGCCTAGTGCAAATTGCTAAAACAAGATTCTTATTGAGATATTTGCTGTATAAAACTTGAAAACTATAGAATTTAGAATGAGAAAAATGGGAAATATTTTCATTTTTATTGCAACTGAAACTCATATCAAACCATTCTGTCTGCTATACTTAAAATTAGACTTTGTATATTCTTATAAACACAGGAAGAAACTTTAGACAGGATTGCTTATAACAAGAATTTTTAGCTTTCTGTAAACACTTCTGTCCTTCTTGTAGTTTTGAAAAGGCAGGAATAGAGAGGTTATATATAAATTTGAATATTTAAATGTATTTATCATGTCAAATGTCTCTACAGGAATCAGTTGCTCAAGCCAAAAAGATCTGTACTGAACCTGTTGAAGTTAGGAGGACAGCAAAAAGCCTCGACAGCGAGATTAATCGCCTGCGGCAGAAAATTAGTACGCAGCAGGATCAGCAAGGGGACCGAGAAGAAATTGTTAGGTAAAACAGTGCAGAGTTTTTTTTGGATCGCAGCCCATGAAAAGATAGTCATCTTGTTCTACCGGATTGTGGCATGAGAACAGTGCATCTCCTTCATATCTCTGACACAAAATGTGTGCCAGTGGAAAATATGTCTTGCAGGGTGTGGTGTACAAAAAATATCTTGTTTCTCTGTAATCTTCGCAAGAAGAAAACACCCAGAGAGCAGAAATACTCGTTAGTGACAAACACCATAGCTGAGGGGTATATTACTGAACATTAATTGTGAGCAAATTCAAACGTGTCAGAGTTAAGCTGCATTTACAGTGACAAAAAGTCTTGCTCTTTTTTTTCCCCCCACTAGTTATTTTCATTGTCCTTGCCAATTTGGAATAGCCAATTGTGTGTTTTTCATGTCTCAGTTTGCGCACACTTTGAGGGAGTGTCAACAGTCTTCTCCTACCCTCCCTCCTTCTGTCTTTTAAAGGGGAACTGCAGTGGTGTTTTTATATTTTGGGGTTAGAAAGAATCATCATAGATGAGTGCATTTCAAACCACAATAAAAGTACAATGTACACAGTAACTTGTAAAACCGCCAATTTACATCACAAAATAGATTAAGCTTCCAGGTCAGCGCAGCACCAAGTTTTGCCATTCAGAACGAGGCAGAACGGTGACTTGTGCGACCCTATGACATTGTAAACAAGCAGGCTTGTGAATACATCTCTTTTATTCCAATAGAAATATTGCATTCGATTTTAGTCTCATACTACGTTTTATACTACTTACTTATTAACTCTGGCTTGCAGATTATGTTGGATCATTTCTGCTGTGAAATGTCTGCTGCACAACCTGTGCTTATTTGCTGGTAAATCACATTGCATTAGTCATTACAGTGACTAGCGAGCAGAAAGGGTCACTTCACATCTCAATTCTTGGGAACCCGAAGGAGAGTTTGCGACAACGTGGCGACTTACAGTACTTTCACAAACTTTAAGATTTTGTGCTTCATTCTCGATTTATCAAATTGTTCTGTAATGTCACTGAATTTATTTTGTTACTGAGATTTAATATTAGGTCTGAGAAATTGGGACTGCAGGTCGCCTTTATCATTAATCGCTAGCTGTTCAGAGCTGAGTGGAAGACAGGCCCAACTTGCCTGCAAGCCCCTGGGTCGCTGTGTTGCCGAGAGAGCCCTGGCTGACCAGTCCCACCCTGCCCTAGGTGATGCTCAGCCAGTTTTGCTCTCCCTCTTAGGGAATCGTGATTGCAGACAGCTGGTGTCATTAGGCCTGGGCCTGTGATCCTAGAGCTCAGCCTGTGCTTGGGAGAGCTACTCTATCCAAAAGGCCCCAGAACATGTTAAGCTGAGATGGAAGTAATTACTAAATATGCAATTTGTGCCTTTGCTACTTTGTAAAAAAATCTGTAGAAGTGAATTGTATTCATGGCTGGTGCTTACTAAAAAACATTTTTTTATTCTTCTGGTTCTGTGTGCGTATTTCCTGTTTTGCAGGCAGTACCGTGAGGCATTAGAAAAGTACAGAAACATCTCTTTGCAGATGAAGAACCTGAGAAAGTTCATTGTTCTGCTGGGCAAGATAATGAATGATCGACACAAAGCGTACTCGGATATGAGAATGTAGGTGACTTGTGATTCGGTCTAGTCTGTAGATCTGAGTCTTGCTTCCTTCATTGGGTTGATAAAAAAACATGTAATTCATCGTGGTGTACCTAATGCTTTTCTTCAGTACCTGCCACCCTGACGTTAATTATAATGTATAATGCTGTTGTATTTTTCAAAATATGCATTATAATTGGAAATCACAAATGTTTATTCCATTTAGAAGTCTGAAAATTCTAAATTCTGATTTTGATCAATATAAAATGGCAACACAGTGAAGTTTTACTTTTTTTCTTGTTGGTATTAATGAGACTTTTACATATGTTTTATAGAGTGGACAGGTTAGCCAAAAGGTTTTCTGAGCTTTGTTTTGTGTGTCAGGTAGATCAGTGCCAGGCATTTATACGTACTAAGCCAAATCAAAAATGATTGCAGTTGTACTGTTTTTCTTTTTTATGTCTCTGATACTAAATCTTCTGAACAACATAACACAACCTGTAAACATTTTTTTAATTTCTTGGAAGGTATCTTTCTTTGCGATGCAAGTACTACTTTGATTCTCTGCTGGCACAGCGAGGATACTCTGGGAAAATGACATTTGACCATAAAAATGGAGCTCTTTCAATTGCAGTAAGTGAAGCTTTTCATTGCATCTAGTATAGCTGAACAAGGCTTTTTCTTGTCTACAGTGACCTCGATTAAGATGTCTTGGACCCAGAATAACTTGTGTGGTCTTTTTCCTATTTGGCTATTGGCAGGTTCAACCAGGAGAGGGCGACAAAGCTGCTCTTAGTGATATGAGATCATTGTCTGGAGGGGAGCGGTCCTTCTCCACAGTCTGCTTCGTCTTGTCACTGTGGGCCATCGCAGAGAGCCCCTTCCGCTGCCTGGATGAGTTTGATGTGTACATGGTATGTTATTGTTTTTATCACTTGGTTTGGAGTTGCAGAGGGACGTTAAAGTAGTGGAAATCGTCAAAGGACATGGATTAAACAGAATACAGGATAATGACATCCCTTGCCCTGTCGTATAGTAGACTCTTAAACCTGTTCCTCATTTGCTTGTTCAAGCCCAGCCGATCTTTGCTGGTGGCTGCTGTAGTTCCCTATAGAGGTTAATTGGGTTGGCTTTGTCAGTAAGGTCCAGGAGTTTAGTGCACTTGTGTCATATTCATAGAATTACCTTTGAATGGGGGGAAAAAAGGGAGACTGAGGAAATAAGTTCATTGGAAGATTTTTCCTTTTTTAAAATACAGGATATGGTGAATCGAAGAATTTCCATGGACATGATGTTGAAAATTGCTGCAAGTCAGCGCTACCGGCAGTTCATTTTCCTGACCCCACAGAGCATGAGGTATAGCTCCAGTCTTGATATTTCTCTCTTCCCATTTAGTATTCAAAATTTTAGTTTTTTAAAAGAAAATGTTCAATTTCGCACAAAAGTGCTGTATACAAAAAACTAAATCTCTAAACTGAAGTGTGTCCTGCGTATATTTGCTATTTTATATAGTTTTCAGTAAAACCACTGCCAAACCTGGCGGACATGAAAAAGCAGCACAATAAACCTGTCTCCACACTGTATGGCTGTCATTTGAGTGAAAATATTTGGGGGTAGGATATGCAAGTTCTGAGTATAAAGACAAGTGTCAACAATTTCCTTTTAAAACTGTCAGTAAATTAGTTATACTAATGTAAAGGGAATAATGTTTTGTGGTGTTTTTTCTCATGTTTGGATCAACATTGATTTCATATTTTATTTGATATTTAAAGGCTATAACTAAACATGGAAATCCCTATATATATTGTACATAAAAGTTCAAGTGGGTAGGTGCGTCAGCATGCATAGGCTGCAAAGGAACAAGTAAAGGTTTATTCCATCCCTGAAAGAGAAGAAAAGAAACACATTTCGGCTTTGGAGCCTTCTTCTGGTGTCAGGTATTACACCTGACGGAGGCTCCACAGCCAAAATGATGTGTTTTTCTTCTCTTTTCAGCATGGAATAAATCTTTACTTGTTTCCTTGTATTGTATATACAATAGTTGTGTTTATATTATAGATCTGGATTTCCTTTATCGCTTATCATCTATGTACTGTCTTTCAGTTCTCTGCCAGTGAATAATTTGATTCGGATTCTTCGTCTCAATGACCCAGATCGTACACAGACCACATTGCCATTTGCGAGACGAAATCAGGAAGAGGAAGATGAAAAGTGAATATTTTTCAGCTAAAGGTCCTTCTTGGAACTGGCCTTGGGGTTTTAGAGTTAGAGCACAACCCGCACTGACATCCCTAACTGAAAATGTGCTGCGTGAAACTAATGAATCTACAGTATGTGTTGTACAAAGCAAAGAAACATATGGTGTATAAAATGTTTGATTGCTCAAAATATGTAAAATGTGTTCAGTTGAAAAACTAAAATGTATGAATATAAATAATGTATGTATTGCTTGTGTGCAGATGATGTTTCATCAGTAAAAGAGTTCTAATGGTAAGACATTGCTTCTCAATCCTGATCTGGTAGAGCATAGGATCTTCTATATTTCATTCTACCTGAACTCTTTTAATTTGCCTTAATTACAAGTATTTCTAGTCTTTTAGTCAGAAAAATATTTGTGGTTTATAAATCCTGCAGTACTTTGGTCTTCCGCCCCCAAGAGTGAGGACAACTGCGTGTTCTCATGATTTATATACAGAAAGGCATTAGAAATGCATTACATGCTATATCAGTGCCTTTTCATTATAGTTTGTTAGGTGTATACATAAATGTTGCTGTTTAATAAATGAGCAGTAAAGCTCAGGTTTTAGACCTCATCACAGTGATGGGCAACCAGGCCACCAGGGCTGGAGTCCTGTAGCATCTATTGGTGCTTCACAATTAGCACCTGATTAGGACACTTAAGTCCACGTGAAAACGTTGGACATTGGACATTATCTAATTAGATCAATTAAGAAATCAAGTTCAGAGATTCAAGAAAAACTAGAGGATCTTGTTACCTGTGTATTAGACGCTTTTTAAAACATTAAAATTTTCAACACTTCAGTTGTGATTTTCATTTTTCTTACAGCTTGCATGCTCATGGATATTTTATGTTGAAACAGTATTTGTCAGCCAGCATCTTTGCACAGCTCAAGACCAAATTACGCATTGGTTTCCTAATATGTTTTGGCTTTAATGATTAAATCGAATTATCTCAAAATAAATTTATAGTGGCTTCACTTAATCAAAAATAAGCAAAACTTCAAACCCTCTTAAAATAATTTTAAACAAAATAAAATAACTTATCAGTTTAAGAACAGCTAATAGATTTACAGTATGTTCATGTTTCGGTCTTCTAGTATGCACACTATATTTTCTGGCCTCAGCTGGGCAGCTATCTTTTCTCAGTTCACAGGCAAAGCAAGTGCCTTTTAATCATTAGAGCATGATTCCAAGAATCAACTTACTAAGTTTGTGAATCCCTTTTTTAATTTGATGAACACGACAACTTTACAGTATTTTGAAAGCCCTAGAAAAATAAATGATAGTAAGCTTTCCTTCCTTACAGAAATGGACTTTTAATGTGCAAATAAAAATGAACATTAAAATGTTAATTTGACAAGTTATCCCTAAAATTTCATTTGTTCAATTAGTTTTGAGGACTGCAATATACAGTGAGATTAAATAATAAGAAATTCAGAACAGGGAAGGAACGTTCTGCCAAAAATTGCCGGGAAATTTGAATGGAATTAATAAGCTCATATTTAAGATGATAGTGTTTCGTATTCTAATACCTGTGTTATTAATCACAGAGGAATTAAAGTTTCTCTAGACTTGCTTGCAACAGGTTATTCATAGGACAATAGGGAGCTGAACATCTGTACTGTCCACTGATCTGTATACTTCAGGAATACACTGCCTCTTCAGTTGTTGAAACCTGTGATATAAATGCCCTTTGGGGTATCCTGTCAATGTCTGTAAATATGGGTTTCTGTTATTTCTGTTAGTATGTGCATGAAAATTACTTTGCTTTGTGGCGATCGGTTTTCAAAATACACCTGTTTTGATACAATAGCTTCTTAAGCACCCTGTACTTTGAATACTTGGACTTGAAATTAGGCAAGTTTTCAGGGTTTCTAGCAATTGCAGATAAAAGGTTTGTATTATATTTATATGGCTGGATGAGACACTTTTACTTGTGCTTTCTCTGTGCTATTACAGATTAATTCTTTATGAATGCTCAACTTTGTCTGATAGTTTGTTAAAGATGGTCCTTACGTCTCAAGCATAAAGCAGTACTACAGAACATGCAGTGTTTCAGTTGTATCCATTGCAGCACTAATAAGACCCTTAAGTGTTTAATTGATCTGACAAAAGTAACATTAAATAATTAATTAATTATTAATTAAATAATTAATGTATGTAGCCAAATTAGCAATAGATATCATGAGTTTACTTTCCAGTACCTTCCTTTGTTTGTTGCTGAAGTGGATTGTCTCATACAAACTACATGCTACATAACTACTGTGCATTTCTAAACCACAAGTGAGTCTTTGTGACATTTTAGCATGGTTATTAAACCATTTTCAGTACAAATCCACAAAATTAAAAAGATAAATTGTTAGTATCTTGTGACATACACTACTGCAGAAGCATTTCTATGATGGACTACCAGTTAAAATTTTAAATCATGTAATAATTGTAATAGATCATTCTATAAACTTTAGGCGTAATATGGTATAGAATGTAATGCATCATAATCAATACACTGCAAGCAAAACAGGATAATACACTTTCATTTTTAAATTAATTGAAACTGAAGATATTTACGGTATTCTAGGTAATCTGATCATTTTTATCAATTTAATACACAGTAGTCTATAGTATGAGTTTAAAGTACAGGTGGAAATATTGAGTTGACCTGTTCTTGGACATTTTTATAAAGATTATATAGTTCCTAGCTACAGCCTTTTATAAATGTAAGAACACAGTTTCTTGAAAGCAATGTCTTAAGCATCTTTCACTCACATACATTACTACACATGGATTTTTCACCTCATGTTGGCTAGATCTCAATCATTCTAATGAAGAACAGCACACCTCCTAATTCACTTAATGCAATTAATACAGCACATTTAGCTTCCATCTAGAATGTTGCATTGATCTTTCTAGGCAAAATCCTTGCGCTTTACAGCACACACAAGTTGGGGCTTAGGTGACAAAGTTAGCCCCCCGACAGGAGAGAGATCGATATCTTTTTCTGTGACACCAGGAGGAGCATGGAAAGAGAAAGACTGAAACAGGGAAGTGAAGAATAAGAAAAGTTCCATCTTGGCAAGCGTTTCCCCAGCACAGACTCGACGTCCTGCCAAAGAAGAAAAGGCTGTAAAAAACCATCCTATTCACCCTGAATCTGCATCGTGATTTAGCATCCTCTTCCCTGAACCTATCATCTATCACAACACTCTTTAATAATATTGAACTTAAGTTTTTAAGTTCCCTCTAAACTTTTGAAAACCCTCAAATCAAATATCTCATTCCTTGTGGACTGAAAGAGGTTGGAGACGTCACACTATCCATAAGTAACACCCTAGGATGAGTAGGCCAGCCTTCCTCTGTAATGTTTCTTCTATGAGTTTCTTAACATCGCCAAAAATTGAACAGAGAGATTGCCAATTACCTGATGACACTTTCAATATGTCATCAAGACATCACATTAGTAAACTATTTTTCTGTGAAGGTTATACATTCATGGTTATTTATGCAATATCTTACAACACTGCCTGGTTTATTTTTATTTTTTCATGTGATCTTACCGAAATACAAGCAATTATTTTTGAGGAAGTCACTGAACATGATCTGTTCCAGAATTAGTCTATAATGGCAGTGACAAAGCTGGATCTTTTCTTCTCGTGTCAAATGGAATGCACACCAGAATGTTGTTTCACGAAAAGTGAAAATTGAGAAATTGAACACAACAAAACATTCAGAAACAGCTGTTCTCGGGAAGGAAATGAATGCGAGACAAGTTCTTGAAAAGCTTGTAATGAATATAGCTTTGCCTAATTTGTCATTCTTTCTCAGTAATCTCTATTTTACCTGCTGAAAAGGGCATAAAGGCCTCTCTCTTTACAAAGTTCCCTTCTGAATCGAGAAAATGTGAAGGATAAAATTCATCTGGCTTTTCCCAGTATTTTTTATCACGGTGTACAGACCTCAGTAATGGAATAATGTAGGTTCCCTAAAAAAAGGAAAAACATACAATTATGTTTAATAGTTCTGAACAGATAAACAACTTGCCAACATATTAAACAAGTCCATATCTCAACTTCATGTTTCACCCACTGCTTTATGTGAGTCTCTGAAGCGGCTTGAGAAACTGGTATTTTTGCTTTACTGGTTGAAGAAGACATTCCAAAAACAATGATTAGTTACCAAATGTAAATTCTCTGTATGAAAATAATCCAGTAGAGGTCTTGTGAATAACGGCAAAATGTTGTAGTTTTTGGAGCTCTTGGTGAAGTGCTTGTATCGTACCATTATATACTTCAGATTTCAGATATTACTTTTAAATTGAATGGCTGGATTTAGAGGATATTGGAGATCTCTTGCATGTGCAATACTTTGTGTAACGATTAAAGAATGTTATTTCTGATGATGCAGAGTTTAACTTGAGGGCTTGGTCCTGGTGTGAACCCCCTGGCACCACCACTGAGCGTCCAGAAGTCTTAACCTGTTGTAATTTTTTACTCTGGGAGTTCCTCTGCAGAGGCTCCCTTTTATGTGCAACCTGGACAGAAAGAGTTAAGAAGACTGGACCTGTGTAGGAACAAGTAATAGGTTTATTCCATGCTGAAAAGAGAAAAAAGAAAACAATGTTTCGGCCATGGAGCCTTCTTCAGGTGTGAGAAGGCTCCACGGCCGAAACATGTTTTCTCTCTTCTCTTTTCAGCAGGGAATAAACCTATTACTTGTTCCTTTGCAGCCTACGCATGCTGACGCAGCTACCCACCTGAACTACTTGGACCTGTGTAGTGTGTTTATGACTTTTGCAGGCCTAAAGTTCATATGTATGAGGCATGACTGCCATGGATCCTGAGGGAGAAGTCTACAGGAGTGAGACAATCCCAACATTTGGTACCACAGACCCTGTGGTATGTAGAGGAGTACCCTACAACTGTATAAGGGAAATATTAAAGTCATATTTTTGCTCTGAATATAGTAAAATCATCTATCATGCTGGATCAAGGGATCAAAAATGTCATAATTCCCACTCCTAACTGTTCTTGGCTTGGGAAGGCCTGAATCTTCTTGTTTTTCCCTCTTTGTGTGAATATGCTAATTGCCATCTGTGCCCGTGACTTTAATAATAGAGATGCATAGTACTGTACACCCAACCTCTGCACTCCAAAATTCTTTAAAAATGTCAGTTAATTCATCATACTGCAACTGCTTTGCCATGATTTGTCCTGCAATAACTCATTGGTACAGCACAAATTTACCTTTGGAATGAAATATCCTCTGAAAGTTACATCCACGGTAGTTTCACGGGGAATGTCCATTGGTAAAATATCTGCAAATCTCTGGGTTTCATGCATCACAGCATCGGAAAATGGCATCAGCTGGCGGTGGTGAAACCTGGGAGTGGAAGTCCCAATAACTCTGTCTATCTCCTTGTGAACTTCCTCTAAATTAGAGAATGAACAGATTTAATGTCAGTTTTAGAAGAAATATAGAATAGTTCAATGATGCCAGCCAGCAGCACCTCTTAGAATGTGCATCAAACGTGAACAGATATTCAAAATACAATAATAACAAATATAATAATCAAAATAAACCATCAAATGGTGCCATTTTTTTCTACTGTAAAAAAAAATCACCTTACTCCTGGATCGCCAAAGACTTATTTAGTTAATTTTAGTTTGTTTCTTAACTAGTACAAGTTAACCTGTTTCCTAAGGTTTACATTTTGAAGACGTTTGTGTACAAGTCCTCAAGGTCAGTGAGTCCTCAAGGTCATTTTACAGTTTATTTTGATTATTAGAACTTATTGGTTGTACCTTGAGGACTTGTACGGATAATCCAAAATTTCACAGTTGAAGAAATTTTATTAGAAAATTACATTACTACATTTTACAGAAATGACAGAATACAGTGGTCCATAGTGATCTACAGATGAGGAGTTAAATGATCTGATTTCTACACAAACGTCTTCAAAATGGAATTTTCAAAGTTGAGATATACTGTACACCTGTGTACTCTTCCTTGTTTGAATGTATATATGGAGTTTATAACAGACGTTCAGGATGAAGGCTACATCATAATCTTGGACACTTTCATTTGCCTGCTGTGAGATCACAGGGAAAGGCCATCACTTTACAGCACGAAACATGCATGCCTACAGTGCCCGCTGCGCTCCTCACAGCCTGCTGGAGAGTGTTTTAGCCTTCCACCTTCTCTCCTCTAAGAGTGGTGCTGTCACATGGTCCACTGGAAGCAACAAGGACACGATGTGCGCTTCATATACTGTACATACAGTATTTGACCGCACATAGTCAAAGCTTTCACATTTAACACATTTGTTCCCGTTGATTTTTTTTTGGGTAAAACCCAATCCACTTCGGGAGACCCGCTTTGGAGAAAGGTTTGATGTCATTGATTATGTAATTTTGAATTCCTTGCTTTAATTATTTTATACTTTGTCTTTTGTTCAATTGTTTTAAGTAAAAACAATTCAAATCCTCAATTAAAAGGACCTCTTACTGTCAGAAATCAGTTATGCCACTGATTCGGAACATTTTGAGTGCATTGTGTATTTCATCATGAACCCATCAGAAAATGCCACCTGGTTCTCATACAAGGCATCAGCTTAAACCTGGGTGGACACTGACGTGTGCAGCATGAAAACAGGATGACAGTCTGAAATTCATTGTAGAAACCCATGTTATGTCAGAAACAGGTGTGGATATGTTGAATTTTTCTGAGAACAGAAGGACAGACAATCACCATTGGCAGGACTGGTAATCCTGCATCGATTACATTGGTCACCACATAAGAAGCGTGCATAGTATTGATACGCATCAATTGCAGTCACTACAAACTCAAAACTCAAAGAAACTAACAGATATTTAGTAATTCGCCCACAATTGTGTTTTCGGTCCACTATAGTGTGGGGATACTCCAGAGATGGAGAGCTTAATAATGTTATGTATTTTATCCAAAATTATTAGAGGAATAAATGTCAGCTGCCTGCAAGGTGATTCCTCCATAAAAATGTAGTCTACTCAGGTAACGGAATAGGCTGGTAAAATCATATGGTGAGACAATGGATTAGGCTTAAAAAGGTTCAGTCTTGTGAGGAGGCATATTATTACAAATATTAAATGACAAAACAACTGCTGTGTGTCAGGGGCACTGGCAATGCCTATTTGTAATATGTCTCTGGCCAGACAGGATTATCGTGATAGTTTAGGTACTAGTCAACACAGCAAACAGAAAGGCCAGTAGGTAATGGACAAAGTTTGGGCTGGGAAGGTTGCTCACTTCAGGATTGGTCCAGCCACAGCCCCAGTCCTGCATTTCCCATTTGAAACACAGGATTTCTATGTGTATGTCCTCCATGTCATGTTAACGGATTAGGATGATACGACACGAAATAGGTGTCCACGATAGCGTTACAAATCTAAAGATAAATAGTAGTTGAAACGGTGTGGTGTTTTGTTTCCCGATTTACCCGTCACTTTGTGTAGTTATTTTCTATCCATTGTGGCATTACGCGGGGGCGTGTCCAGTGTGGAGGCGGAGCCCTGGTAGAAGGGCGACACCTCGTCTCTGCGGTCTCAGCTGTTTTGGCTTCTAGCTGATGAGCCCCAGCTGGGCGGATCCTATAAAGACACACTGGATACCCCCCCAGAAGGGGGGAGTTTTCACCAACAGTCCTGGAGGGGATTGCAACTGCGTAAGGTTTTCTTTTCATTTTTATTTCTGCCTGTCCCATCACGCACTTTCAGTAGGGCAAGCTTACACACTCATGTTTTGTTACGCACTCAGTTCTTGGTTTGTTTTTACCTTATGCGCTCTGCTCACCAGAATGGACCCCGCTAAACAGAGAAAGGTAACAAGGCACAGTGGAGGTAACAAGGCACAGTGGTACACTTTCTTTTTGCTTTTTGTTTATTTTTCCACCTCTGTTCGTATTCTTGTTGGTCCCTGCTAACCTCACGCCGGTGCTTCTGGCCCCTCACCCCAGGCGTTGAGTTTTTACCGGTGCTTGCCGGGGCGCCACCCGCAACACACTGTCACACCATTTACTGTATTTCAGTGTAGCTTGAATAGATCAGTGTCATTATCATAACTGGTTGATTAGGCATGGTTTAAGTAAACTTTAATCCACCAGTAATATACTACAAGAAAACCCAATATTTCATATATCACTTAAAAAAAAGAGGCTTCTGGTAAGCAATATGCTAGTTAAGTACTGTGTTTGTAATGGCACTAGTGACTAGTTGCCAATTTGAAGTTTTGATTTATTTCTTATTTCTGATTTAGGTCTTAGGTTGGACAGCTAGTCCACCAGTCTCTCAAAAGTGGAACTCTTTGCATTTGGAAATGCGACTGTTCTATACATTATAGGACAAAGAGAAGACCACAAAAACATCCAATGTTTTTATTACTTCTGATAAAGTAGTGTGTTCCAGATAAAATGAGAGTCTGAAATGGCCACTATCCTACAGTATAAATTTTTTCAGTTATCCATATCTACTTACTGTAAATATCGCTGGGTCATTTGTGTTAATGTTAAACCTCTGAAAAAATGTTAGAACAGAAATCTAAATAAAATTTTACTATTGAAATAGAGGTGAGAACACACAACTTACTTTGAATTTCAGGGTACTTCACCATAAGTAAAATAGCCCAGCGCAGAGTGTTGGAAGTTGTTTCTGTCCCAGCAACAAACAAATTGGTAACGGTACATAACAGATTCCACTCATGAAAGTGTGAATGAGGATTTTTCTTTTCCTGAAAGATTACAATTTCAGTCACTAATAAAACACCAATATCCACTAAATACTGGCTAGCTAAAATATTTTTAAATTTATATTCATTCCCATTTATCCCTTGACCAGATAGCTGATGTTATTTAACACATTTACTTAACTTGACATTACATTTGATTGTATTTAGCTCAAAGAACCCCATGCATTCTTTGATTTCTATCCAATACATTTTCACTTTCATACATTCAATTTAGAGAGTGTGGTAAAAGTACATATACGAATCTTTATTACATTAAATGAGAAAATATTAAGCTTTTATGTTCTTATTTTTCTTAATATTAATGGTTAAATAATGTGACTTGTTGGGGATTTCCAATTTCTCGAATTTCAAATGTCCCTTATTCAATAAGTAAATCTATGGGCATCCTGGAATGTATTTACACAACTTTTATTTTATCATCTCGCTTTAGGCATCACAATAGCCAAACAACTCTTTATTAAATCAGTGTCATCCCTCTTAGAGCAATCACATAGATGGCATGGCAGGATAAAAAGATAGTGGAGAAAAGAAAATTGTACAGGAGAAAGAAGTTATTGTGAGAGAGAATCTCTTTTAACAGACTAAATATCCAGAATCATTTGAGATAATCTGTGCATTAAGGAGGTCAAGTCTTGGTTTTAAGTAAGGAACTGGCCTATTATAATTGAAGAAATACCGATTTCCTATTTGCAGTATCCATCAGGCTAAAAGTAGTATCTCATTTTTTAGCTATTAAGAAAAAGATTTACATTCATTTAGTATCTGGTTTAGAGAGTGATTAAGTTCTAAGGAGGAACTAATATTTTAGAAGACACAAGTTTCCTTTTATTGTATTTGGTCCTCAATTGCTGGTTAGAGTTTTGTGCTTTATTTGACTATGGAAATCATGGCGCTGGAACTCGCAGATCAATAATTATCAGTTCAAAATTGCTGTGAAAACTTGTGTTTATGTTTTATTATTGTAAATAAACATTGTCCTTTTAACTTATCATACTGTACTAGGGAAAAAAATAAAACATGTAATGTTGCACTTGGTATTATCTGCCAATAAGGTTTTCTTTTGCCTGCATATAAAGCTAGTGTTAGGACATTTGATTTTGATACTGATATTAATTTTGATTTGATTAAATTGTAACACCTCTAGTTTCCAACAACACATTTCAGGCATTTCTCTTAAATTGCTGAACTACTTAATTTTTAGCATTTTTACTAGAAATGACAAAACATTTCTTACCAATTTGAATTGATTAAAGTAGTAAACAAGACATTTGCAAATAAATGTAGCTGCAACAACAAAAACTGCCAATCATACTGATTACAGTCTAAAAATTATTAGGCTGAGGATTAGAGATATAAAACAGGACTTACCGTTTCTTGTTTTTTCATAAATGAATTAATAAAATTTCTTGAGCTGTTTTCATCTAATACTTTCCTTTCTTCTATGAAGATCTTTTTGAAGAATGCTTTCAGATTATCTTGGTGTCTCAAAACATCATGATGAAAGCCGGGTAAGGAATGGATAATTGGGTATATATTGTACAACTGAAAAATAGAATTAGACTCTGCTGATGTAGTACAAAGTTGTAGTTTGTAATTTAATATAAAATTCTAAAAATTATTTTGTATATTTTTGTTCCTTACCTGAACCTGTGGGCTTCCTGTCAGCACAAAATTTCTATTATTCATTTCAAGAAGTTTCTTAAAATTCTCATCTCCATATTCAAGTCTGTGTCCCATGATTATGGAAACAATAATGTTAGATGTCGCTGCATTCAGGAAAAGTAATGTTTGAAATGGCTGTCCTGAAAATGCAAATTGATAACACTAACAAATGCTGAAATCTAATCAACATTAGAAGCTTAAAAAACAAGGTTTGTTCACCAGTATTTCTCATTCATTTCCTGATACTTTTGATCTGGTTCTCTGTGATTTTTATAGATAAAACAATCAAAAGGTTTTAACATGTAATTCTATTATTTTTTTCAAGAAATTAATTGGAATGGAAACAGAAGATTTAAAAAACATGTCTAGTAATCTTGCTCCATACTCTCACAACACTGTTTAACGCGGGTTTAAATGAACATTGTTACTGACCTCATCCTTAGCTAGGATAGTCTCAAATATCTATGCACATAAAAAGTAACAACATCAAGTGCAGGCAGTTTTGTTGCAATTTGAATAACTTACAATTAATGAAAAATACTTCCAAGCAACCTTCTTATGACATGCTGAAAAGACAAGAAACAACATTTTGGCTGTGTCCGCAGTGTTTCTTTTCTTCTCTTTTCAGCATGGAATAAACCTTTGCTTGTTCCTTTGCAGCCTAAACACGCTGATGCAGCTACCCACTTGAATTACTTCAACACCCTCATGACTACCACTAAACCCAAGCACTGCTATCACTATACAAGCCCTTATTACGCCAGATACACCACTAATTAAACCAAATTACACCATTTGGTACTAATTGTACCAAAAGACCCTTTACAATTAACATTGTAAATAATTAACAAATTAACACTCAGTATGTTTTACAGAGTAACATCTTACCGAGTTAATGACTCAACTATTTACATTAGCTAGAGGCCTTTTGGCGGCCTTTAGTGGCAAGTCATTTGCTACTGCAGTTCCTTCAGCTACTGGCCTGCTACCCACTTCCAGGATACCTACAGTGCCAGCCCTATCTTTTTGGGGGCCCTCCAGATCACAATTTGCACATACAATTGAAGTGTAGTCCAGGACCCCATGAAGATGGTATAGTTCGGAAGTAAGTGGAGAAGGACAACAGGGAAAAGACGTAGAGGATCAGGACCGGTTGACAGACAGGGGGGCATGACGACGGTGATCCGGTGCTCGGGGGTCGTGGCAAAGGCAAACCGATTCACGATTGGTAAAGACAAGAATGGGAAATTGGCCAATGGGAAATTTGGCCAGGACGCCAGGGTAACACTACTACTCTTTTCGAGAAAGACCCTGGGATTTGAATTCACCACAGGACCTTGGTTTTATGTCTCATTCGAAGGATGGCACCTTTTTACAGTATAATGTCCCCGTCACTATACTGGGTCATTGGGACCCATGTACACCACACGGTGAGCACCCCCTGCTGGCCCCACTAACACCTCTTCCAGCAGCAACCTTAGTTTTTTCCCAGGAGGTCTACCATCCAGGTACTGACCAGGCTCTCACCTGTTTAGCATCAGTGAGTTGCCAGTTGTGAGTTGCAGGGTGATATAATTATTGGATTGAGGGGACCCCCTGGCTGACTTGGGGCCCAAGGGAGCCTCCTAGTTCGCCTAAGCCAAGGGCCCACCCTGGATAAGTAAATGTTTCTACATCTACACTCAAGTCTTTTTTTATAAGTAGCCTTTTAAAGCTCATCATTTCCCATTTTGTGTTTAATGTAGGTATTTGCTGCTTTCATGTAATATTTTGCATTTGTCTGCACTGAAGGGTATTTTCCAGGTGTTGGCCAGTGTTGAGAATTATCTAAAACGTTTTCATTTCATTTGCTTTTTCTATAGTGGTTGCTAAGCCAAACTTTCTATTGTTTGCAAACTTGACTACATGTCACGGTTACTAATTATAATGAATCTGGGTTGTTTAATATAAACTGGGAAAAGCTGTGGTCTTCGCACAGATTCCACTGGTTCTCCACTAATTTCACCACTCTAATTTGAGGGTTCACTCCTCATCTGTACTATTTTCTATCCAAATGTATGCATTTTTCTGAATGTCTACCATCAGTCTTAGCTTTTTATGAGGAACCTTATTAAAAGGCCACTGAAGATCTACATACACTACACATATGCTTCCATTACTGTTATTTCTTGTTAAGAGAACTCAAACCAACAGGTTAATCAAGATCTACATTTTGTAAATCCATGTTGACTATACCTGAGAAGAACGATTGCAACTCCCACCTCCAATAGATCTTCCTTTATATTGTAGGTGGGGATAGAAGAGAATGCAAATGACCTTGCTATCGTTAGGTTATTTTTATTAATGTTAAACCTCTCAATAAACTTTAAAACAGAAGTCAAAGTCTAAATCAAATTTGACTTTTGAAACAGAGGGCATCAATCTTTGAACTGTTGTCAGTTAGTGCCAGTCACGGTAACAAACACGGGATACACTGGTAGACACCAGATGTTGTAACGTCAATGAAAGAGACCCTCTGAGCAACTGCTGCACTCATGAATTGGCTGAGAAGTACTGGATGACCAGTTCAATATGATACAGTTTTCAATAAAGCAAGAACCTGGTTTGGAAGGATTTTGGAGAGCTCAGAAAAGGTAGTAAAACACACTGACTTCCACTGAGGTAGTCGAGAAGTAGAAGGAACACTTTGAGGAACTTCTCAGATTGGTGTTCATGTCCTCCTTGATGAAGGCAGTATCAGAATTTCCCTGGCGAGATTGGAACAATCACTGTTGGTGAGGATCCTGCTGCAGCTAATGGAGCTGCAGTTAATGGAGCTGCAGGTTAGCCTTTGTAATGGTAAAGCACGAGGGGAAGCTACGATTCACCAGCAGCTGCTTAATGCATTACATGTGCGTATGCCATACCATACAGTGATTCCTCACTAATGGCATGACTGCACGGTACGGCAATACTGCCGAACATGACAAAGACACGCTACAAACACTGCAATGGCACAGAAGATTGCTGGATGCAACATACAGATAACAGTTCACACCACCAGATCTAAGGTCATGATTCTCTCCTAGAGAAAAGTGTAGGAGGAAGCAATGGCCCTCTGTGGAAAAGTCTTGCTTTAGGACCTTGTTCACAAGTGGCAACTGTAGTTCTTACAGTACTGTACTGTATGTCAGTAAGTAACAAATTGTTCAACTGCAACATGCCAGGGCGGGGATAGATACTGTAGATGGATATACCAATCAAACCTGACAATTTGGGTACCTTTTTAGCAAAATCCACCACAAATATTAAGACAAAGACTGGAGACTGCAAAGGAACAAGTAAAGGTTTATTCCATGCTGAAAAGAGAAGAAAAGAAACAAAAAATTTATTTTTTGGTGAAGCAGGTTTCACACCCAAAGAAGGCTCCACAGCCAAAGCCTTGTGTTTCCTTTCTTCTCTTTCCAGAATGGAATAAACCTTTACTTGTTCCTTTGCAGCCTACACATGCTGACGCAGCTGCCTACTTGAACTGCTTTAAACTGGAGACTGACATGGAAGTAATACTAGGATGATTTTCGACAGGCTATCTAAAACATCTAAGTCCGTGCTGCCAGAAAACATTATACTGGATATACATTTAATACCACAATAAATTATACATGCAAATAACGATTTGTGTTGTTAAGAGCTAAATACATATTTTTTATGTTTTAAAAATCATTTAGAACATTAACCAACGGTAAATGTTGTTGAAGACAATGCTGTTGCAAACAACCTACAGTAGTCCAAATGGACTCCTCTCATTTAGAGCTTTTTGTACATTCAGAACATAGTCCTTACTTACCATTTTGGTCTCCAAATGTTTTCACTAGATAATCACATTCCTCAATGATTTTATCTTCGATGGTCCTTTTGCCCATTCCGAGATCACGCAAGGTTGATAAAGTAAATCTGCGGACAGCTTTCCAAGACTCCCCATGACCAAAGATAATGCCTGTGGTTATTGAGGAAAAATGTAAAGCATCTTGAAGAGTTAAGAGTCTTGAGAGGGAATTTGTGAGTTTTCTCTCTTTTGCTTGCATGGCTATCATATGTCTTTGCTGCATCAACTAACTTCAAGTAGGTTTTTGGTGGTAGAAGAAATAACAAAAGTAAATAGTTGGAATGCCCATATTAGGGATATTGGGATTATTTACCCACTTAAAATATTTGACATTAGAAATGGCCATATTGGTACAACTGGACTTCCTGAGACTCAGAAGAATAGGAATTGTCCTGGATAAGAGCACTCTCCCTCCTTTAAATTCTCCTGAGAATGCATTGAAGGTTACTGAATTCACACTGGTTGTCCTGACTCCTACTTGACTGCAAAAAGCATGAATTATATAGTTATAGCTATAAGTATCTACAGTATCTGTAATTTTTTGTATTTTTCTTAACACTTTTTTTCTTTATTTTGACTTTTTTTTTGCTTTAAATAAATACAAAGTTTTTTAAACTGGGTTTTCAGTTCATTACAATGATGATGTAGTTTATGTGAATGCTGGTTTAGAACTGACGTCTGCAAAACACTTAGTCACAAGGCCAGCCAGGAATACACAAATACAGTATAACAAGAATTCTTTAAAAAATGCCCCCTTTCTGCAAAAGATACTGGATCAAAGTTACTTTCTTCAACAATAATATGCGTATACCATTTCCTCTGGTAATTTTCTCAAATATCGGTATTTTCGGGCGTTCAGCAAATTCATCAGCATGAGATAGAAGGGCATCCTTTATGGTCTCATATCCATACAGAACCACCATTTTCCTCAGGCCCATTTGAATGCTAAACACAGATCCATATGTCTCTGCTAACTAAGAAAAAAGAAAGACATTACTTAAATAGTGAAGGGAAACATCAAATATCCTTTTGAAGCCATATTTTTTGTTAAAATACATATTGTCCTCTTATCTACAGTATGTTCTATTAACAAGGTACAAGCTAAATTCAGTAAAGGAAATGAAATTTGCAAAAAGACAATCCAGAATCCCCAATATTTCTATAAAAATGTCTGTGGAACAGAGCTTTGTTTTATCTTATAAATCAATCATGCAAATCTGCATAATGACTTTAGTCTACACACTGTCTCTGTGGCATACCCTGTACTGTATCTACTGTGTCATCTCAAATTAAGGCATTTAGTGTCATTAATGATATTAATCATATCATTAGTTTAGTAAATAGGGGAGAAAATACAATTTTATGCATGATGCAAGTACAAATTCTACTTTTTCTCCAGTGAAAAAAGCCTAAGAACCTAAGTATATTTTGGTTTTAAGGTAACACATTTTATTAGATAATACTGTTTTGTTTTAAGCATTTGTGAAAATAATTTAAAAATGTTACTTCATTGTCCTGTTAAAACTAGGAACATGAATTCCCTTATCTCCCCACCATAATCTTTTTCTGGGCAAAAAAGTCAAAGTGCACAGTGGATGCAAGCAATTTTTATCTCCATTGTTGACAGAAAAGATGGCCAGTGTTATTGAACCTCACCCCCGGCCCATCACATTATATACCCTGTAAAGTGATTTTTTCATACCCTGCGGAATTAGGAACACCAAATATAATAAAAAGATATGCAAACGGGATAATGTATCTTGCTTTAAGAAATCTAAAAATGTTATTCTGTAATTTCAATAGTTTTCCACAGGGAAAAGTCTTATTGGTCAAACAGAATTTAAATCCAGAAAAAAACATTTCCATTTATTCACATCCTTTCAGTATTTTGTAAATCCTTCTATAACATGGATCAGACTAATAAGATTTCTCTTCTAGCATATTATGAGATTTTTGACTTTTTCAGGGGGGATTGTTAAACATTCCTCAATTGCAAAATGACTCTAGATCCTTCACACCCTTTAGATGCTGTTCATCCAAAAAGAACAAATTTCATTTCACGTAACAAGAAATACCAATTGTCAATTGTGCAAATTACCACATGCTTGCAAACTGGTAGTTTTCAACACTTTGTCATCACCACTTACTCCTTCTTGTTAATGGATTATGTTATAAACACCATGAAAATCCTAAACTTCAAAAGCGTAGATAACTAACCCTAAAGTTACAGTATGATCACTAAGCTACATACTCTGTCCAAACAGAGAATGAGCACACACATGACATCTGATATTTAACCGTATTTGAACCTACCTCCATCAAGGTCATGTATGGTTTTTTGAGATCCAGAATATGAATGTTTCCTATGATTGGAAGAGCTCGGGGACCAGGTGGGAAATTATACATTTTTAGGGGTTTAGAAATGTAGAAAATGAAAGTAAAGCAAAGCAGAACAAATAACAGAGATGTTATATCGAAAGGCCAGATGTCTAAGTGTGGCATATTGTAGGAACAGAAAGAACTTTAAAGTAAATTGGAAGCAAGAAGAGCTTGTGTGTAACAGTAAGATGGAGTTTAAAAGTAGATAATGTTGCTTCAGTGTCCCAAGTAAGATGGCTGTCCACAGTATTGTTTTTGCTGAGTTTCCAATAATCTGCAAAGACACATACAGTAAGAGTTAGTGGATTATGATGAAGTCCGAACCAAAAAAAACATTTCAAATTTCATTCCACTGCGTATTTTAATTTTTCCTCAAATGCAAGCAACAAACAGCTCAACACAGACTTTCTGTTATTGTTTTTCTGTATCAATTTGAAAGCAATATTCGTAACTGCAACTTCAACTGCCATTTTCTGCTCAACCAGCAAGGTAATAATTTAAATATCCATTATATAATATTCACAAATGCATTTGTAATTATTAATAAAATTAATTATTTGGTAGGGGAACAACTCATTTAATAATGCAATGAGCTCGCCAATACGGCCACCATTGCAGGTTGTGAGAGCCGGCTTACCAGGGCAGTGACATCACCGCCCTTCCCTGTGAATAGCAGGGACCGCAGCTACCGGGCTGACGGGAGATTTCCCTTGAGCTCAGCTGGCTGGGTTCCTGTTGAGTGACGCCGGAGGTCCGGGTTCAAGTCCCCGACGGCGTGGGCGCATACTTACATGAACCCCGGAGCGTAACAATATACACAATGTATTTGCTAAAGACTATCAGGGATAGTCCCTGGGATATCAAAGATATTGAGATCTGAGACTGAAACCTTGCTGGGATGAATCTCAACTTCAATGTACAATAGAGGTAATCATATTTTCACATTAGCGGCTTTTTAGACACAGTCTCCTTCTGATTATCTGAAGGAAATACATATTTTATTGTGAGCTTCGTCTGCTACTTATTGCAAATGGTATTCTGAATTTTAATCTTTGCAGCGCAGAGGTAGTAGAGAAAAAATTATCATATAACGCACAATTAAAATTCGCTATGGATTTAATTACATTTTGTACAACGGTTTAGAGAATGTTTAATTTTTATTTTAAAAGTGATTTATATTATGTATTTACGGTATTCCAAAGCAATATGAACACAAAATCATTTTACGTTCTATGCCTCTGAAACATTCACACCAAAGCTCAATACTTACATAACATTTACAAATGGCTTGAGCTGGCTGCCTCTTGATAACGATTTAACAAAAACAAATCATACAAAACAAAATCTTCGAAACACCCCTTTTTAATAATATACACTTGTTATCTTTTGTCTGAATAATTTTGGCTGAGCTGGAAACCAACAGCAGCACTGAGAGGAATGGTAACTTTCCGCAGTGCCAAGTCTCCAATGAAAAAAATAAGTGTTTGCTGAGACAAACGACTTATATCGCCTCGTGCAAACCCCAACCGTTCAAAGGGGAAATTTCAGTGCAAACCCAAACCGTTCAAAGGGGAAAATTCAGTGTAATAAGCGGGTAATGCACTTTCAGCAGAGTACGTCACAACACTTTCAGGATCTAGTCATCTACGACCTAAGCAATTTTTAAGGTTGTAGGACGCATCTCCCTGCTCTCTGTGCGTTGGATTCCGAAGAGACCCAGCACACTCGCAGACCGCTGCAAGACATTCCTAAAACTGTTTGAAATGAACAAAATGTATCAACTTTAAAAAAAAAGGAACTCAAAACGTTATCCACAATAGGCACACGCACACCAAAAATCATCCTTGTGTTACAGTCCCCGACCACCAGAAGTGAGAGTAGTCCTTGTACTGTCCCTTTTCCCTTCATGATATTCCCCCCCAAAAAAACTTCTTTCCCGAATATAATCTGTCTGGTATCCTGGCCAGCATGCTTACATCATGCTTTAGTGTTTCACAAGGTGCAGTTGTGATGATCAATAAAAAGGCCGTAGTAGGATCAGTAGCTGCACAGCCACAAAAAAATAAGAAAGGTTACTTACATTTGAAAGTGTCAAGTAATAGGTTTATTCCATGCTGAAAAGAGAAGAAAGGAAACAACGTTTCGGCTGTGGAGCGTTTGATAAATCCAGTGACTCAAAGGAGGCCGTTTCAGGATTATGCAGAGGCTAATTTAGTAACCTTTTCCCCAGTCACACAAGACTCGATTTACATAAGGTTAATTTTACATAAAATTATTATTAAAATATTTTTTTCTCGGTAGGAAAAGTTAAAGTTACATATATAAAGAGCAAGTAGTGCAGCAAGTTTGTTCTGCAGATGAATAGTGAATATAATGCAATATTCATCAGGTGTGTTGTATACTTCAGTCTCACCTTTCGTTCACGTGTGGTAACCTCTATATACAGTACTGTGGCGAACCTGTTTCTGTGTTAGCGGGTACCACCTTAATCACTGATTTAGGCACATTGGCTTGTGTTTTGAAGCTCCTTTTTCTCCAGTTTGCGAACGAATGCATCTATTGCTCCCTTGCACAACAGTTAGTCTCAGAGCATTGAAGGCGTTTATCGAACATGTCCGTGTAGCAAAGCGGGTGTTGGGAGCACAGATGAATCACCGAGGGCCGAGATCATCTCATTTACACCAGCCGCATTCATCAAATTCCGCGAGGAAATCGCTGAATTGGCTGCACTTGGAATCGCTAGCTTCCTATCACGCAGTTGCTGAGGCAGTCAGAGGTTGCCTTTTTACCGACTCTCACGGCTAAGAAGAATAGCGAGCAGTTATAAATGAAAATTGGGAGGTTAGAGGTTTATCCTGGTACAACAAATCGGAGAAGGGTTATAGCGGGGGTAATATTGTCCAACGAACGTGGCCAACCGGTAGAGACCGAGTGATGTGCTTGCCACTGCTACCCGGGGCAGTATACGGTTGCAGTTAATGTGAAAAAACCCTTGATACGCTATCAGGGGGGGATTTTTCAGTCCGTCAGACAATTTTTGCTGTCTAGTGCATCATGCCATGAACTATTTGACAACGAGGAGCCTTTTTTTCCCAATGGACAATTGAATTCCCTGTTCTTCTTCCCCACGCCCCCATCGTGGAAGCTGCCACATCAATGCATGGTGACGATATTCTTGCATTTTACAGCACGTTTGTGCTGTAAGGTGGGAGTCAAATTCTTTGAAAATGTCCTTTGCTCTCCTTGATAAAACCGAGTTAAAACAAGACAATGTATTGCACGTACACAATGAATGCCACTTCATTCGCAACGGGTGTCTCATCCAACTGGCCTGCAAAGTGGCCCGTTTATCAGTTTGTTTATGAAAAAAATCCCCTCTTATGTGCCGTCCTATCGATTCTGTCGTTGACTGTGCTGAAAACGGTACTGTCTTTGGTTTAGCAGCTACCTGCAGCCCCCACGTTTTCTCACCCATTTTAATACAAGCGGGTTTTAATGAGGTATTTGCTAATGTCATGTGGTTTGTTGTGTGATTCAGTGTGAGCACTCGAAAGAAGCCTCAGTGGGATTCAGTGCATCGCTCCCAACTCTTGCAAAAGCGTCTCTCATGCCCACTGGTCTAATAGCGATTGATACAGTATATCTTTCTTTTGTTTGAAATTATCTCATAGTCTCACGGGGTGTCAATTTTCCTGGCTTCTTGGCAGTTTGCAAGGCTTCATGCTCTCTGGCAATTTTTTCCCATTTGTCACATTTTGGCTAACTTTTATCTGCACTTTCTATAAAACCCAAATCCAGGTAACTCTCCTGGCAACACTTTTTGCCAAATGTGCTATATTCCCTGTGACGTTTTGACTCTGACCAAAGAAAGCTTTATCATCTGGGGGGGTCAGCTTGCAGCACATATTGGCATGTGAATTGGCACAGTTGCAGTGATTCATTGTAGTTTTTGTCCCACATGTGAAGTGTGATGTGCTTGTGATGTAGATTGAAGGTCAATTAGCAAAACTAAGGATACTGTTTTATCCAAACTGTAAATATGATATGAATTTGAATATAAATTGTGTGGATCACTGCAGGAGAAGCTATTTTTAAAAATATTTTATTACCTCAAATCTATAAAATCCCCCAGCAACCCCTTGTGTTTTTGGCAATCCATCTTGAGGGTCACAGACCTCAGGTTGGGAAACATTGCTCTAGCAGCTCATGGGCTGCTAGATGCTTCTATGTTCTCTCTCTCTCTTGCTCTCTTCCCCTCCCCTGATGCCACACACATACCTGTTAATCATTAAAGGACAATAAACCCTTGGTGAGCCCGTACTTCTGCTCTGCTTCTCCCTCACTCAACGACACAGTTAGAGAAAGTAGGGTGCATCACTGCAATATCATGAATGGTAATTCTCTACCTTCATGCAATGTTTTCATGCAATGGCCAAGAAATGGTTGCTTCTCACGTGCGTAAATTGTGAGTTACCCGTATTTTGGTAAAGATTTGAGGAACCAAACACTTACATAAAAAGGGAATGGTTGTACAACTTTTGCTATAGACTTAAGCTATTTAGAATTTTACTAAGCAGAACACTGCATCACATGATAAAGGTCCAGAATGAAGTGGAAGCTTATGGCTTAAATAATATTGGTACCACATAACGCCTTTGAGCATCCATGTCTGTGGCCCAATAATAATGGAGTGAAAACTCCAGTGTGTTAAATTCTTGGAGATGGAACAGGTGGTTCACCCAAGTCTATAGCCAGCTTGTAGAAGACTGCACATGATACAATGTGGCTGCAGGCAATTATTGGACTGGTATTCAGACCGAATGAGAGCAAAGGGCTGTTTTAAGATTGACAGCTCTGTCAATGTGATTCCCCACTTTATACTGTTATGTCTCACTCTGCTGGTGTTATGGGATTGTGCACAGACTTCAGAGATTACCATTCCAAGTGATGTCCATGGTCACCTACAAGGACTCCATAAAACATTCCTTCATCTGTTTTCTAACTTATATTATCCAGTATAGGGTTACAGGAAAGCCAAAGTCTATCCTGGCAGCAACAGGAGTAATCCTGCCATCAGCCATAAACACATTAACACCAATGTCAAATTTTACTGAAGCCAATAAACCTACCAGCATGTCTTAGGAATAGGCAGGGAACCAGAGTACCTGGAGCAAATTCATGTAACAATGCGGAAAACATACAAACTCCATGCAGATAGTAACAAGGAATTGAATTCAGTGCTGTGAGGCAGCAATACTAACAACAAATGTAAAAATATCAAATTAAAAAAAAAGAATATTTACTGGTACATTCATTGGTTTCTGGGAGGAAAACTGGCCCTGGCGTGAATGTGTCAGCCAATGATGTACTGGCGTCCCATCCAGGGTGTATCCTAACTTGCGTCTGCTGCTTGCTGGGATAGGCTCCAGATCTCCCATGACCCTGGAATGGAAGCCCACTGAAGCAGGTGTGAGCCTGGTCAGTACCTGGATGGGAGACCTGGGAAACACTAAGGTTACTGGTGGAAGACATGTTAGTGGGGCCAGCAGGGGGTGCTCACCCTATGGTCTATGTGGGTCCTACAGGCCCAGTATAGTGACGGGGACACTATACTGTAAAGGCAACATCCTTTGAATGAGACATAAAACCGAGGTCCTGACTCTCTGTGGTCATTAAAAATCCCAGGACATTTCTCAAAAAGAGTAGTAGTGTTACCCTGGTGTCCTGGCCAAATTTCCCATTGGCCTTTACCAATCATGGCCACCTAATAATCCCTCTCTATGAACTGGGTTCAACACTCTGTTCTCCTCCCCACTGATAGCTGGTGTATGGTGAGGATACTGGTGCACTATGGCTGCTGTCGCATCATCTAGGTGTGGCTGCACATTGGTGATATGATGGATGGGAGTCCCCATTACCTGTTAAATGCTTCATCATTGATGAAGCAGAGTGTCCACAAAAACAGTGCATCGAAGGAATTATTAATAAATCCTATTATTCCTCTTTTCATGCTCTATATAAGGGGTGAGGGGGGTAAGGTCCTAGACATTTCAGGTGATGCTTCTCAGCCTCTACAACACTCCTGCCAAGTTCGAGAGACTTCTGAATAAGGGTCCTGGAGTCTATTCCTCCTACCCAGTGCCTGGTGTACCTGAGCAGCTCTTTTGACAGCACCCACCAAGTCCCCTGCTGATACTGTGCAACACTGTCCAGGCCAGCACCATCTGAAAGCCTATGTCCTGTCCCAGCGGCCAAGTGCAGAGGGGGTCTTGGAGAATGCTGTGAGGAGTGAAAGCTGAGACACTGCTGCATCCCTCTGCCTGGCCTCACGCCGTCTTCAGAAGACATTCAGGAAACTGACGGGTGAAACAAGCTGGTCTGTCAGTGTGTGAAAGCTGGAATGCCTCCTTCATACTGTAGGACACGTTGGGCGGACCCAGACTTCTTTGAGGGCTTTCTGGGCACAGTGGTCAGGTCAACAGATTGTCCATGGGGTGTAGAAGCAGCTCTGGGTGCACCCCGTAGCAGACAGTAGTCTCTGCAGCAGTGCGGCCCGAGGTGTTGGGAGGTAGATCACTTCAGGGTGACCAAGACAATCATCTTTGTGTTACAGTCTGAGGCTGTCCTCCACCCTTCCCTGATGAGTGTGTCAATAGTGGCCATGGACATCTCCGTGTAGCTCCGACCCCGGTGGGATTCAGCTATTGCCTGTAACACAACACAAGGAAAAAACCCAGCCTCTCCTGCCACTGGAGAATTCAGTTTTTATTCACGGTCCCTGGGGATTACCTAACTTGAATTGATGGAGGGTGTGAAAACTGATCTCTTCATTAGAATATAGATTTGGTAATGGGATTTTTTGTTTTCACATGAACATGCATTTCAATTTTAATTGTGTGCTATATAAAGGGATTTTTTAATGTGTTTAGGTGTAACCTGTTTCTCAATACACTTAGCCCGTATTAAGTGGCAAATTTACAATACTAATTATAAATTGGTAACACCAAATACAATGATCAGTGAAGGCTAAAATAAGTGATTGACAATGCCAGAAATACCGTTAATTGAACCCCACATATACTTTAGTATTATTTAATGTAAATGTAAGAGTGCTCAGTGGGTCAAGCTTGTTACATCAGTGTAGTTGTGAGCCATCAGGTCAGTAGCTCCAAACCCGCGAGCAACTGAGATCGAATCAACGCAGGGAGAGGTTCACTTGTTACATACTTAAAGACAGAAAATTATATACTGTACATATATAATGTTTACATGACGCACACTAACCGTGATATATTTATAGTTCACAGTGAACGTCACTTTCTTTCGGGAAAAAAAGTGTATATAATATAAATATATAGTTTATGTGATGAATTGATAATTATAATCTTAATAATAATAATCTATTTTTCATACATTAATGAACTTGTTTTACATTTATTTTTAAGAGCCTAAAATCCTGATCGATATCCAGGTTTTTTTTATCACATGGTTGCAACGAGGAGCGGTCCTTGTGTTCATCCTACTTTTTTAAAATTTACAATACATTTAAAATAAGAGACTATTGGTCTTTGTAATAATACCAGATTTCCAACAGTTACAAAGAAAACACTTCCTATTGTAAAGAATGTGTCAGGTCTAATTATCTGCGTGCAACTGCAAAGCCTTAGTCGTCTTACGTAAAGCTATTCAAGTTACTTTAATTACTGTGTCCAAGGTCCGGTGCTAACTCCAATTCCACTTGCTAGCCCACGAACACATCGCTACAACTGGTTTCGAGTGTACTATGACAACAGGACAGGCGTTTTAAAACAAAGATGAAACAAAAAACACTTCGGGATGACAGAGCAAAAATCGTCGAGAATATCGAAGAGCAGTTTGTTGAATCTCCGAACACGAGAAAAGTGAAAAAGTGGCGCAAGCGGCAGTCGGACTCCCCGCAGGCTGCCGCTTCAGAAGGAAGCGGAGGCTCCAGCACTAGTCAAGGAGACAAGCGCTCTTCCAGACAGGTTCACTTCGCCTTCTTACCGGACAAGTACGAGCCTTTGGTAGAAGACGACGAGACGACAGGACGAGCTAAAGAGGAAAAGAAACAGCAAAAGAAACAGAAGTACAAGAAGTACAGAAAGGTAATTAAAAAAAAATGTGTGTAAAAAGCAAGTTACTACCGGTGCCATTATTGATTGTGCTACAGTATGTGCTATGTGGTATGTGCAATGATGATGATGATGAAGAAAGGATTTGGGGTTATTTACAGTACACTTTTCTTAAATAACGTAAGCATGTAAAATAAGAAAAGGAAGACCAATGTGTTGGAAAATGGAACTGTGAATGTCTTTTTATTGAGATTACTTTTATGTACAGTACTTTTATGTACAGTAGATCACTGTCTTAAAAGGTGGGTGGCATGGAGATGCTGCCCTCTGTGCTGGAGCGCTGGATTCAATTCTAGACCAGGAGTGCCGTCTGTGTGAAGTTTGGATGTTCTCCCAGTGTTTACATGGGTTTCCTCCTGCTTTTCTTTCTTCCTCAGTCCACTCTGCTGCGTGTTAGTGTCTGTGTTTGTGTCTGTCTGCCCGCCCAGCGATGGCCTGGTATCCCATCCAGGGTGTATCCCGCCACGCTTGCTGCGATAGACTCTGGCTCCTGCTTGAGCCTGAATTTTAAAAAAGCAGTTAGAAAATGGATGGATAGGTAGGTGGACTATTGTATCTTTAATGTAAAAGCATGAATGAACTAAACAGACCTAACTGAATATACGATTACATTTTTTGATGGAAAGACCTGTGCACGTTGACCCTTCCTGAATTCCATTTAATTACCATAGCAATCACTCCTTAAAACCCAGTTCTTAACAGACCTTTTACAGAGACCCCTTGAAAACAGTTTGGGGAAAAAAAAACAGCCGTTTATTCCGAATATCACTTTTTTTGCTGTCACAATACTGTTACTCAATTCTTTATAGAACACCAGAAATAAAAAATAAAATAATAATAAAATAAATCTGTAGCAGGCTTGGCTGACACAGCAGGCAAAAAGTGCTCAAAGATGTCCAGTTATGAAGAGTTGTCCAGACTTGTGATTCTTTGACTTTTGGGGGTGAAGTGTGATTAACCATTAAAACATCTGATATTTTAAGCAATAATGATCTTCTAAAGGCTATGGTTTTTGGATGAAGCTGTCCCTGTTTGTATGCCATATTAAAGACCAAGAATGAAAGAGGTCTAAGGTAGCAAACTCTTCACTTTTCTGGACAGACACCAGGCACGAATCTCATTGAACCTATGTGGGCTATATCCAGCTCATCCTTGCAAAATGTTTTCAGGTCTTGTGGCATTCATTGAAATTCATTATGAATTTGTGGACTTTAGATCAAAGGTTTGATGTAGGAATTAAAAATGTGAGATGAAATTGAACATTTTCTAAAAGAATCATTTGTCAATTTACAAACACCAGTAATGCAGCCAGAAAAAATATTTACAGGCTAATATACTGTGCTTTATGTGCAGCTTAAGCATACTGATGTAATTATGTTATTCACATGCTCATGTAGTAGAAAACAAACTAATTAAGGTACCCTAAAGTCATGTGCATTGGTATGGGGCTAGCTTGAAGAATTTGAGGATTTTTGTATTAGATGGAAAACTGTTAGGCTTCAGCAACAGAGCAGCAGCCAAATGCAACAGAACAGGGAATGCTTTCTCTCAAGAGGTTAACAAGTTGCGGTAGTATGTGAGGGACAGAGGAACAGGTATTTCTGTTCATCATTTTGGCTGTGGGTCCTATTCAAATGCATGCCGTCAGTTCTTTCTCTGGTTCATGAAACCTGAAAAAGATGTAACTGGTGTGCATTGGGAGTTTTATTTGCTTATCTGCAAAATTATACAAATTACATGAGAATTACTGAGAGAATTGTAGTATTTAAAATTACATTTAATTCTGTTGCTTGTAACCTTCATTGGGGTATGCACTGGACTTTTGTATACTGTACATATCAAGGGAGAAACATCTTAGGTTGTTTCTGTCTCCAATGTAGTGTCAGGTTGTAATAACTTCAGGTATGAAGTAAATATCCAGATTAAAATAATGAGAGTACCGTTGCTTTCCTACCATTTTTCATTGTTCATCAGTTTACCTGTGTATGAAGCAATATTATGTAGTAATAAGAGAGGGGAATAATAGAAAGTTCCCTCTTCAGTCACAGAAATATCATTACTGTCTCATTCATGCTAATATACTCTTTACAAAAAAACAAACACAATTACAAAATGATGGTAAAAAAAAACACTTTTATACTTCGCAAAGCCAAATCAAGGAAACCAGTCTGTGCACATGCTCAAAAATTAGTCAACTCTAGTAAACAGCATATAAGAGATCAAATAGATAAAATGATAGATAATCCAATTTATAATATGTTACCATTAAAATTGTTAAAGCCTTTGAAATCTTTAAAGTTTCATAATCATGGGCTGTTAAATGTACGTTGTTACTCTGTAAGATATATATTCAGTATTGCAAAACCAATCTAAACCTATTTATTACTATTAAATTAGTTGTTTTAAGCAATAAGAAGAATACTTAAGATCATAAACTTAAATCAATCTTAGAATTGCTGGTATTCTCTATAATTTCAGCTGGCACATTTTCCTCACTAGTTACTTTCAGCTCATAAATATGATTTTTTCATCCTTCAAAGTATGTGCATATTTGTTATCAGGTGACATGGCTTGGATTGCCAGAGGGATTAGAGGAGATTACTTTCCAGGCTTTCTCCATTAGAGCTTTGAATTCTCTACCATCTTAATGTTTTCTAAATATACTGTGAAAGAGGAGACAACATTATATCTAAAGTTGAGATTTTATATTTATATTTTCAACACGATACATATATTCAATATCATCTGTTCCATAAGATAAGATCACTTTATTGGCCATATACAATTTCTTGTATTAGGAATTTGTCTTTTTGCATACCCCAACTTGCTCTCCATGAGACACACACAGGGAGAGAAGCTTGGGGTCAGAGCGCAGGGTCAGCCATTTATACAGCACCCCTGGAGCAGCTGGGGTTAAGGGCCTTGCTCAGGGGCCCAACGGAGTAGGATTCCTCTTCCGGCCGTGGAATACGAACCGGCAACCTTCCAGCCACAGGTGCGGAACCTTAGCCAAAAAGGAAACAATATACAGTAACTACTGTAACAGGCAGAAGTTAATGTGAAGTGCTGTTTTTGGTGTATTGATTTGGAAAGATGATTGCTAAACTGTAGTAACCCTGGCCTGGCTACAGAACTTTCTGATAATGGATGGCTAGAAGGTTGCTAACTAGCAGGACTGTTAAAGGTTTCCAGTCACTGAGAATGACCAAAATCAATTTAAAAATAGGATCTCCACCCATGGTCTGTATTCACTACCTCCAACTGAAAACAGTAAAACATCTCTAAACTATGATCTGTCACCAAAACGTTGTCGACCTATAATAAAGTATTAAGCAGCAAACATGACTCCGTGACTCCTGACTTCCCTTGTCAGGCCAGTGAAGTGTATTGTTACCGGTAAGATGCCGATTGTAGAGGAATTTCTATTGACAAACGGGCTTAGCATCTGAAAAAACATGTTTGTCTTCATTGCTGAGTTAAAGGAAACATTTTTGTGGTTTATATTTTGCTTCACACAATTATGTTTTTCCTTGTTAGTTGGCAGTCTGTATTAACTCCTTCCAGTGAGCAGTCAGATGAAATGGCTGCTACAGTTCTGAATACTGGTTATACTTTAGTCTGTTACTAAATAATGGATAGTCTTGTCCTGTTCTGCTGAAAGATAAATATTTGCTATTCCTCTTGTTTACAGCTATATTACAAAGTTTGTTTTGGAGATTAGCAGCTCAGACAGACTGTTTTATGTTTATTGACTTTAGGAATCTTTGCAGTGACATTTCATCTGGCTTTGAAATGGACAAAAAAAGGTCAATATGACTTATAGGTAGTAAATCGCATGGATAGTGAAATCGGGACCAAATTATACAAGAACACTCTACAAAAAAGTCCAACTTACCAAGTTAAATAGTTATTTTAGACAGTGATGATTCATTAGCTTTATCAGTTTCAGTAGACTTTGGAACTTTGGAATTACTCCCAGTTACTCTGTGCCCTCCTGCCATGTCATCAAATCAGTTGGTTAACACATAAATCATTGTCTATCAAATAAAAAGTATCAAAGGTTGATATCTTTCCTATTTTATATAGTTTATTGCATGACAAAGATCTAAATCACAGATGTAATGTGCTACCTGTTACCCTGATGCTCCATATTTAAAAATCCACTTTTGCTATAAGGTAGATGTCCTCTATAAGTTGAAAAACCTCTGTTAGTACAGTATGTTCTCACTTTTAGCCTGTATTTACTGTTTGTTAGGTCCTATCCTAACCTTTAAGTCAAGCTCATACTGAAAGTCATTAGGTGTAGAAGTTATTAATACAGTACAAAAGATAAATAACAAAGGAAGAAGTATTTCTTTAAAGATGTTTAAATAACAGTAGTTTCATTTTTGACGTAAGCCATGCATTGCAGCTCAAAGAGCAAGTGCTCTTTCTCATGCTATTTTGTCAAAATAATACATAGAACATGCATTATTGTAAAGACAAAAGAACAACATCGCAAAATTATTGCACATACTGTAAAGGAGAGCAAAGATCTTCTTCCCTTTGTTGTGTTAAGAAATACTTTCGACTATAATATCTATATTATTTTTTCTCATGTGGTTTCATGTGGGCTCCTCAGCCTGAAACTAGACACTCATGATGGCCTCTGCCAGTGGTGATTACAGCCTTCTGACTGTACAGCTGCTCGGTGCCTTTCTGCCCATGTGACCATCGCGGTTCCGCGCGGACTCGTCGCATTCTCCGCGCAGTCTCGTTCTGTCCCGCAGCACCTGGGGCACGAACCCGGATCTCTGGCGTAATGCAACAGGGAACCAGCAGCATGAGCTAAAGGAGACCTCCTCCAGCCCAGGCAGCGGAGGTCCCTGCTACCCGCAGTGAGGGTGTTGATGTCACTGTATCTGAACTAGCTCTGCTACACCCACATACAGTACAGTCCCACCACACCAGTGCATCTGCACTTTTCTCCCAGCTCACTGTCGGGTCTCTCCCAAGCTGCCACCAGACTTCTTCCTTCCAAGGTGCAGTTTGACTGCGTGATCCATCCCCATTTCCCTGCAGGGGGACCCGTCTCTGGGTGTTTGCGGCAGTTTTAAACCTCTGTTTTCCAAGTGGGCGGAGGAGTGGACTCTGGAGGCTGATTATGTTCTTGAATGCGATCGACTGATTTTTGCCCTTGAAAGTCCATGACCTGTAGCCAATGCAGATGCAAAGTAAGGCAGTGTGTGAGAAAATCTGGCCAACCAGTGTTACATCTATGACCAGTTCCAAGTAGTCATGGAGGAAATGCAGCTCAATGTGCTGCATGAATAAAGACGGGTTCAAAGAACACTGTCACAGTGAACAAGATGCAAGCAAGGTTCCAGGGAAGGGGCACATGAAGAAGAGAGGAAATGCTTGTTTTCGCTGGGCCGTTCCTGAGCTGGGAAGGACACCAGCAGTGCACTGCTGTGGAACCCCCCCAGGGAAAAGAAGTGGAAGTGCCTTTTCAGAGTTAACTGTACACAAATAACGAGAATAGTAACACGATTGTCTGTACAGATTTGCTTATTTTCTTTAGTGGAGGACATGAAAGCACTGAACAATGGCCATAGCTGGGGTTTGAGGTAAATGGTTCAGAAAACCAGAAATACTTTTGATATCTTTCTGGAAGCCGAGACGCAAGAAGTCAGTCCGTGGAAAATACACCGTATTAGCCTGCGCCTTAAGAACCTAAAGACCAAAGAAAAACCTGGAAACACTTTTAAAGGACTTTGAGTTATGTATTTGATTTTTTAAAACGTATATAGGCTGTTTGAAATCAAATATTTCCGTTCTAAAGGGAGTTAAGAAAGAATTAACTTCGGATAGGTGTGGTTCACACCCTCTACAGCACACACAAACCCTCAATAGGCACTGGTATTCCTGAAAGTGAGGACTCTTCTCATTTGCTACATATCCTGGGACTGGAACTTGATCTCCTGCCCTGTCTCTGTAGCAGTCCTTGGCTCCCTGCAGTCTCTTCTCAATGAAGGAAGAAGATCTACTACATTGAAGGGCTTCCTGGTGACAATATGAGTTTGCCACAAAAAGAAATTAACACTGTAAGCCTGCATCACCTGGCCTTCAGGGCACCTGACAGCTATGGTTGTATGGGGGAAAATGAGTTCTGTAATTTATCACAGCGTACATGTCATGACCAACTCCCAACCCCACCCCCCAGGAATTGAGGTGGCACTGTAGGTGTTACAGACCCAAGAGCGAAGGCGCGACCGACCAGGGGGAGTAGCCGGCTCATGGCGCCTCGGGCGCAGGAGTGTCTGGAACAGCGCAGCACCAGCCTGAAGCGAACTTGTTCACCAAAGTGCACCGACTGGAGTCTGGGAGCAAGGGCCACTGGGGTCCCTCTCTCTTCCAGTTCGGAGCGGATTCCTGCAGCTGCACTCCCGGGAAAATGGAGGCCACGCAGGAAAGGAGGACGGCCCTCTGGAGTCGCCTGGCGTGCGGTCAGGTGGACTGGCAGGCTGTGGTGCAGGAAGGGAAAGTGCAGGGCCAAACTAGTGAAGGAGGGGATGAGCCGTCAATGCCCAGAGCTGTGCTTGCTTCCGAGGAGCAGTCCAGGCCTGAGGGGTCTGGCGCTGAAGCCAGGCAGGATCAGGATACTCCCAGACGGCACAGTCATGCTCAAGGCGCCTCAGTCTCTGGACCGAAAGAGGCGCGTGCTCGTCAGGTGGTCCTCTCCGGAGACCAGGCCGGGGCGGAATAGGGAGACGCGCTGGTGACTGAGCCAAGGGAGTTGTTTGTTGGGATCCGGGTCTGGTGTAGGGTCCCGACTTCTGGTCCACACTCAGCAGCCTGGTGAAGTTATTGGAAAGCACAGCCATGGGCAGAGCTCGCAGGAGGAGTCCAAGGGCCCTGGAGACCAGGAATGAGAGGCGCTCGCAGGCGCTGGCAGGTGGCTCAGGAGTGGAGTGAACAATGGCAATGCTGAGTCGGCGAGGAGAAACAGTGGAGGGATTTAAAACCCTCAGAGGACCTGCTGTCCTGTCAGGTGATCTGCATCAGCTGTCTCCAGGCGAGCTGGGCATGGCCGCAGACTACAGAAACTGCGACACGCCCCACTGGAGAACAGTGAGGGCAGGGCGAGCATAACCGTACAATCCTGTGAATCACTCGACACAAAGATGTCTCTAACAAAAATCTATTTAGCTCCAGCTGAACTTGCTTTTTTGCATCTTGATTTTTTTATTTCTAATTATGTTTATAATACAGATCTAACTGAGACTTTAATCTTAATTTAAATTTGTTTTTGAGTGAGTTTTTTTTTAATTGCTTTGGATTATCACAAATAATGTAATGTTAATAATAATGATGATGTTGCTTTATTAGCCCTATGCAATTTCTTGCATTAGGAATTTGTCTTTTCGCATACCCCAGCGTGCTCTCTATGAGACACAGACCGGGAGAGAAGCTTGAGGTCAGAGCGCAGGGTCAGCCATTGTACAGCACCCTGGAGCAGCTGGGGGTAAGGGCCCTGCTCAGGGGCCCAACAGAGTAGGATTTCTCTGCCAGCTGCGGGATTTGAACCAGCAAATTTCCAGCCACAGGCGCAGATCCCTAGCCACAGAGTCACCACTCCGCCCGATATAAATTATTATTTATATATAGTAAAATATACAATATAATAAAAAATGAACAAAAATCTAAAAAATCTATAATAATAGTCTGTAGCAGGATGAAACCAGCTGGAATTATGATGTGACCTATGTACTAAATTATGTCTCTGTATTGAATTAAATGATAAATTCTTGTCTGGATGGAAAGTTTGCAGCTTTTCTCATAGCATGAGAAAGAGCACTTGCTCTTTGAGCTGCAAAGCGTGGTTTACTGTATGTCAAAAATGAAACTGCTGTTATTTAGACATCTTTAAAGAAATACTTCGTCCTTTGTTATTTATCTTCTGTACTGTATTAATAACTTCTACACCTAATGACATTTCTTTATGTGGGATTCAAACCCAATGTCCCAATTGTTTTTGCAGAATGTGGGCAAGGCCCTTCGGTTTGGATGGCGGTGTCTTGTGATTGGACTTCAGGAGTTTGCAGCAGGCTACTCTTCGCCTATGACAGTGGCAACTGCTCTTTTCCCAGACACACATGGAGCAAGGTCAAGAAGCTGATAATGGCGACGAATCCACATCCATGGCTGACCGGGACATCAACTCCTCGTATTCTAGTTGTCTGCATGGCACCATAATCAGAAGCCAATTGAGACAGATAATGATTTTGAAGAAAATTCAGAAATCTTGAACACAAGTTATTAATGATGAACACATGAAACATCTTAATATTACCTGAGGTAATAAAAAGGTAATGTGCTTTTCTTACAGTATTTTAGTACTTTCCTTAACTTCTGCTTATGCTGCCTCAAGAAAAGGAGGGGACACAATGGTAATGAACTTTATCTATTGGTGTAAGCTGCTCTAAATCTTAATAAAAAATGTATATATTTGTATACAAAAGCAGAAAACAAAAACAATATATTTACATTGTTCATCATGAAAAGCTTTTTATCACACTTGAACCAAAATGAATCACATTTATAGAATAAACGTGATTCATTATAATGAATTGAAGGAGTATAAAGTGTTCTGTAATATTTAATATGGCAGTATAATGCTTTATAAATATCTTAGACATTCTACATTCAACAACTTTTAAAAAATGTGTTTTATAAAACACTTAGAAAATTATTAGCTGTAATAGTTGAAATATTATACCATTTTCACAATGTACTAAAAACCAAATGTCAGTATTTAAGTGCTGAAGACTGTAAACTGCACAATACCTCAGGTTACAGTCTGGAGAACAATTGTGACAGTCACTTTCAAATCTGATTTTGTGATTGTAGAAACCACAAGTCATGTTAATTCTCAGAATATTGCTAGTCTGTAATACTGTCTAGTATGTCTCAGTGGGGTAGAAAGAAGGGAAAGGCAAGTTCGAGCAGAAGACAGGAGCATGTGAATGTGTGAGACAAGAAGAACGAAGTGGAAGAGGTTTGAGTGATGCAAGCTGAAGCCTAGGAGACAGGGTGAGGGAATTCAATGTGGAAAATAACGAGTGAAGAGAAAGGGGGGAATGATATAAGAATGGACTACTTTTGCTTTCAGTATTCTGGCTGTTCTACATGAATAAACACGACACATCAATATCTTCCTCTCACAACACAATAAAAGAAAAGCAGGATATTAGGTTATTTCTGTGGAAACAAGTGCGAAATTAAACATTTTCAAGAGTTTGCCTAAAGTATGTGTACCTTAGAAGTGCTAAAAAATGACTATTTGTATTATTTGATATTTGACTTTGATTCACAAGATGAATTTAAGCTTTGGCTGCACTTTTGAACAAATGATGAAGTGTTCAAATCACTACACGAACAATCCATAGTAGCTTAGATGCTGGCAAATGCTTGTGCTACTGATTTTTCATTGGTCTCATTTAATTTTGTGTTGATTTACATAAAATATAAAAGGGGTAATGTATTGGTGCCACATGCAGCAGTCAGATTTGCTAGTGAAAAAGAAATTTCAAAGTGGACGTTTTTAAATTAAAATACGATTGTATAAAAGGAGGAGTGGAAGTTAGGTTTTTGAACAGCAGTCCCAAGCAGGCATGGGTTCTGTATCTAGAATGGGTATTTATCTTGTTAACTACATCAATCAGTGAGGAGTAAATTCTCATTTTAACTTAACTTAACTTAACTTGTTAAGATACCTGTTTATACACCCGGTATTTATGGGAGGGGGTGTAGTGGAGTCTGAGTCCACAGTATTCTGGTCAAGAGAGTGTAGAGACTCTCGGTCTGGCTAAATGAGGCTCAACAGCTGAATTGTTTTTTTCTTTCTAATTTTCAGCATGGAACTTTTTGACTAACAAAATTTCACCTGTGAAACATTCCTTAGCCTAAATACATGCTTTAAGTGCAACAGATGTGCCACCTGCTGGCTTTCTTAAACACAAAGGATCAAAGTCTGACTGAATTCTACAAGACTTCAAAAGGTGTAATTAAAAGTGCCTTATGTGATATTATTTCTCAGTTTCTTTAAAACATAATCTTAAGCCCTCTTTCTTAAACATTTGTGAATGTCAATTAATTGTTAGCTTGTAAATTTAAATATCCACCATTTTTTCTTTGAAAACCAGTGTGTACAGGTATGCTGTGTAACCACGTGGTAAAAAAGGAAAAATGTCCACATGTAAAACTATTCTAAAAAAATAGAAAATGTTTTATGTCCCAAAATAACAAAGGTATCTTATAGCTATGTTGTGATTATCTGTAGTGTATCTGTAAAATCTTTTATATATTATTTTCAGTGAAAAAGCTTTCTTATTTCAATGAACTTTACAGTGTTATCAAGTGTTAACAATTATCATTGAATCCTGCTTTTTTGTAATTTTACAGAATTTTCAACATAATCATAATGATAGCTTTTAAGAGCTAATTTATGTTCAGTGTGCTAAATGTAAAGTATTAAGTCAAAATTATATTTATTTTGTATTGAAAAACAGTCTGTAGAAAACCTTTTTGTTATAGTGGAATTACACTTTTTTAATATTTTATATTGCATTTTAATATTTTAAAAGTTAAATATAAATTATTTCATATCCGAATGCTAATTAACACCAAAAGTGAATGATGAATCTTTGAACTGAATTATCTCTACTAAAAGATATAGCTGTCATCTTCATAGCAACTTTTTATTTACTTATGGTCTATTTGTTTCAAATGTTGAAAATAAATAATATTGAAGTTTTGTATTTACTAATCTGACACTTACAAGTCAATAAAAATATCTTAAAACTGATGCTAGTATTGTTGTATTTTCAGGTATTTCCAGTAAGTATTTGACAGTGTATAATGGTATACTGTCCCATGATCATTTTTTCTATTTGTAATGGTTTTGATTTTAAACTCTTACAATATGATTGCTCCACAAAGAGTACTACTGAGAGTTATTTAAGTGTAAGTAAAATGTATTTATGTGAGGCAAACACTAAAGGAGGCAGAAAGGACAAAATAATAAAGAGATCAATTGAATGAATTCATGATTTAGAATTGTATACATTTGTTTATAGTTAGACTTTTGTGATTTAGTATAAAGTGGAATGCAATCTTAAGAGTAATGATGAACAGATAAGTCTGAACAATAAATAAAACAAGTACAACTTAAAATTGATTTGAATAAAAACAAAATGTATATTTTGATACAGAAGTGAAAATGCAAAATCTGAAAATTGTTTGCCTCTACACCTCCCTGCATAACAAATAAAAAACAACAACACATTTAGATAAGACTTTATTGATCCCAAAGGGGAATTGAGGTGTTACAGCAGCCCAGCCCAAGACGAGCAAAAACGGACATCAGAATAGACAAAATGTTAAAATAATACAGCAATACAAAATAAAATAAATAGGTGTGTGCAAAATATGCTAATAGTCACTGTAAAACAATAAAATATGTGCAAAATGCACATAGGTATATACAGATTAAAAGTAGCACAGTATAAACAGTATATTAATGCAGTGTCCAAAAAGTACAATCGTGCAACATGCTGTGAAGGGTTAACAGTCCTAGCCTAGGGCAGTGTTAATACACCCTGACAGCCACCGGGAGGAAGGAAATGCGGAAACGTTTTTGGGAACAAAAACATTTGGGAACATTCATGCTGTGAAGAGATCTTTTAAAGATTTATTTGATTTGGCACTATCTCAATTATTAAACTCTATAATTAGCAACATGGGAGAAATACTTTCTTCATAAATGCAACCCCTCTAGAGAAACTTGTCTTTCGTGCTCTAGTATCAACTCATCAACCCATACTGTACTTGGTAATTACTCGGTGTGCCTCTAGAAATAGCGATAAAGACATTAGTCTGATTCAGACGAAATGTTTTTGCACCTGCTTATAGGTGTTAGAGGTTAAAAAAGGTTGATCTTTTGTGACTAAAATTTGGATATATAGGTGATAGCTCTTCAGTTTTTATTTTTTTTTATTACTGAGCCATTAATCTTGCAGTGATTAATCTGGGTCTCTTGCAGCATTGAGCTGGCTCTCTGTCTTGAACTGTGGATCACTCTCTCTCCTTTATGCTATGAGAGGCCGGAGTGGTCTTTTATTTCACTCTGAGCCTCCGGCTCGCTCCCCTCGTCAAACTGGGGCATTGGGGAATGTAGCAGCTCTTGTACAACCGCGGGGTCTTCTACAGGTGTCGTATCCTATCCTACCACACGCTCAATAAAAATGTCCAGGATGCTAGCTGATATACAGTAGACAGCTCTTGCGTACATGTCTGTGCCTTTGCTTATTACGATATGGGTTAAAAAAGCAGCCCGTTGTTTGTGTGTGTTTATATCGCTTTCCCCATGTGTTTTGTGCGTTTGCTAGAGATTGGAGCAATGCAACAAAGTTACCGCCACCACGTGAATGAAAGTTTAAATTATTGTTGCACGGGACGGGAAACCCAAAAGGAAGCACACAATGACTATGTGCATATTTGTCCTTATGTGTTAGCTGCATAAATAATAATAATAATAATAATAATAATAAACATTTTATATCTGGAGCATTTCGGAGTGGGTTACAGATTTCCAGGGGATACTTAACTGGATACAATTTCGGCTTGCTCAGAAATAGGTTGCTAGTATTAGCTACGTCGGCATGTATAGGCTGCAAAGGACAAGGTAAAGGTTTATTCCATGCTGAAAAGAGAAGAGTAGAAACGAAACGTTTCGGCTGTGGAGCCTTCTTCTTGTGTTTCTTTTCTTCTCTTTTCAGGGTGGAATAAACCCTTACTTTGTCCTTTGCTTAGAAATTGTTTGACAAACACCAGACAGCAGCTGAAAAAAGAACTCAGAATTCTCATCAATGCCTGCCAAGAGGAGCAGACTGTGCTCTTCGAACCAACTCGGATTAAATATTGAAACAAGTTTTGTTTCCAATTTGAATAATAAATATAATTTCGGTGACATGTATGTGTGTAAGGAAGGGTGTGCATTTTCATAAATGTTTAGATTCATGGAGATGTGGCGTAGAACGGACTATTGAAAAAAAAACAATTTCAATACTTAACAACAGATATAAGTTAGGGTCTCAAAATCTAAATCAGCGCGTCTTTCACTTGTTTTACGGTGCTGCTCTGACCGACGTCATCACAATGCGCCGTCGCTGAGCTAAAACAGGTTTATTAGTGAGCTTCCGATGACTTTATGTTTAGTGGTTTGTTGGTTTTGTGATAGTTAACTTTTTGAAATGGCTGAGCAAGAAGAGCAGAATGTTAGTTCAATTCCAATCGATGCTATCAGCAACTTGAGGATCACGTCTATTTGGACATTCCTGCTTTCTGTAAGGGAGTTTTATAATACATCTTATTTTGAGCAGTTTCGTTGTGATGATTCTGTCAAGGAAGTTTGTAACATTCACATAATGTAATATATGTATCTGCTTTTGGTGATGCTGTCTTCAAGCATGATGTACTTTAGTAACCTTTTCTTCCCTCTGCCTCTGAAAAGACAATGAACGCAGGTGTTACGCCAGTGAGAAAAACAATATATTAAATATGATGCATGCATAATGTTTGGCGTTTTCATAATGTCCCCCGAAGATATTACAACCTACGTTTAATGTCAGATTTCATGCTCTGTTTACGTTTTTAAATTCGGTTAATTTGAAATCCATGTCATGAGTCATGAAGTAATAGGCATAGATAGAAATTCCTAATGATGCCACATAGACAGGTGTCAGTAGTGTTTTGCGAAAGAGAACCTTGCAGAACTTTTTCAATCTGCTGTTTGTTCAGATCCAGTGGTCCGAAGCCTGGCTGATTGGACTTGTGACATTCCACGCTATCTGCTTGTTGATTACCTTTGTGACGTTCAGATTTTACAGACTTCAGATCTTTCATTTCCTTGTGATGGGTGAGTACTCTTTAAGCCAGTGAGAGCTTTCGCATTTCTAACAGGCGAACGAATCGGTGAAACTCTACAGTGTTGGCGTGGAGTTGGATTTATGAAGGTTCGTGTTTTAGACTTTTGAATAAACACAGTCAATGTTTATGTATTTAATTAGGAAGAGGGCATAATGTTTATGCCATCCCCCTTCCCAAATTTTGAACCACCTACCAATCAACTTGTCTCTTGTTTTGTTACCCTCAAACCAGCCCTAGAATGATGATGCTCTCTGCGTGCTCTTGAACTTGTGACCCAAGTTAGCATCAAACTGCAGGCTGAACACTCCCAGACAAGGGACTCTGGTTGTACAGGATACCTTGCTTAGCTCAAACCTTCACAACCATGGTGCTGCTTGCCCAGTTATGTGGTTCTTCCAAAGGAAACCCTTCCATAGTGAGCACGGATTTTCCCAGATATCAGTCGTGAATAAGTATTTCACTTGTCTTAGGAGTGGGATGGTATGAAATTCCCATGTAATAAGGACCTCACCCACAAAATACCATGGTTGTCATATCATTGTGGTATTAACCTGAAGTTTAAAGAAAACTGTCAAACAAAAAATTGAAATACAAAATTGAGGGTACAACCCACATTGTACACCATACCAATTCCCTTGTAAAATGTGGAGATAATATACAAAATAGTAAGTTTCACCAGATTTAAAGTATATAAAATATAATCCATATGTGTTTTAAAAATGATTTGTAGGTACTTATTCAATTGTAAAATACAAAATTTAATTTCTTACACTGACAAATTATTTACCAATGCAATTAGAATTGTCTTTGATATGATGTATTGGTTCTTTATGGATTTGGATTCATGAAAGTTAGTAATAACTTACTTATTTACTTGTATAAATGTGCTCTCAGCTTTTGTGTTAATTCTTATGCAGTGTGTTGTGTCCCATCCAGGGTGTACCCTGCCTTGCGCCTGTTGCTTGCTGGGATAGGCTCTGGCTCCCCTGTGACTCTGTATTGAATACAGAGGTTAGGAAAAAGGGTGGATGAACATTGCAAAATATTTTTCTGAGAATCTTTTTTTCTCTTTTATCTGAATGTGTGCATTAGTGTTAAGAATACAAAATAGGATACTTATTTTTTTTATCACTCTTGTACCATACCTCTGGAAAAAACTTGTTTATAGTAAGCAACATTTACTTGAGGCAATTCTGATAGATATTGCATCTGTTCTTTTTTTTTACCAATAAAAACGAGCGCCATGTGATAAATGATAAAAACGGACTTGCTGCCTGTTTACGGTTTGTATCAGGGTGTACCATTACTAGAAAAAATCATCTTTGACAATTCTGTCCAGGTGCATGGGTTTCATGAAAATGCTTAGTGATGTAGTTATGGTTATGATAGTCTCTTTTTGTGGTGGTTTTATTATTTCATAACTTTAAACCAGGCTGTAATACCATGAGCCATATTTGCAATATTACATTCTCTGTTCAATCAGTATTATTTAGTATGAGTTAGAATTAAATCCTCCCAAATCATGATGTAAAATCCTAGAAAAGTTAAAAACATACCATTTAACCTTTTTACAGTAAGAACAGCTTACAAAGACAAAGCACAGTGAATTAAAAGAGCCTAATAAGTTGAGCTAACTAAGGATTGTTTTCTTGTAGCTGGGATGGTGTACTTTGCAGAGAACATAAATGAAATTGCAGCAATGAATTGGAGGTAAGTTTGTATCTTATGAATTGATAAGTGCCCTAATTGTAAAATGAGAAAAGAGAAATTAAAATATTTCTCTGTAAATTTTCACGGTGATAACCTTGTACAAACATTTTATGCTATAAGTGCAACTTGGTAACTTGTGAAATACAGTTTTGTAGATTTATGAATAAATACAAGCAAAAACATTTTATGTACTCAAAAATGTTACATTATATTTAATTTACATTAAATATAAGCATCATATGAAATAGTTACCATTGACAACATTACATTAAATTTTAGTAATAAATGTATCCACGAACACTTGTATTTATTTTTTGACTGTTCAGAATGGAAGATACTAATTAACATTTTCTATACTGTGGTCCGTGTCTCTTGTTTCATTTCATCAGTTGTGTGTTGATATACGGTTTATTCCACGCTGAAAAGAAAAGAATGAAAACGCAATGTTTCAGCCGTGGAGCCCTCACACCTGAAGAAGGCTACACGGCCGAAACGTTGTGTTTTCTTTCTTTTCTTTTCAGCATGGAATAAACATATTACTAGTTCCTACACATTATTATGCCACATTTTCAATTTCCTGTAAAGAGAGTAATTCGTTTTTGTCTCCTTTATAAAAACAGGTCATTTTCTAAGTACCAGTACTTTGATTCAAGAGGAATGTTCATCTCCTTAGTGTTTTCAGCTCCTCTTTTACTCAACACTATCATTATTGTGGTAAGTTATGACCGAAGTTAAGTTAATCCGTGGGAATTCCACATTATACATTAACATACATGTGTAGGACTTACAAGTATCAATTGAAAGTTTATAGACATTTTAATACAATGATTTAACACGTTTCTGTATAATAATTACAACAATAAAATCAGAAAGTGAAAGACAGCTGTAGAAGACACAACATTATATAATGTGCTGTGAAATTATAAATCGGGTGCTGTGTAAAAGAACTGTTTTCATCATATATCTTAAGACTTAACAAACCATAGAAAGTTTTGAACAATCACAAAATGAATGCCTTGCATTTTAATTTTTTGTTTGGGGTACACAGTTTTATTATATACTGTAAGGATTTATGATTATATGAACTACTGTCAGGTTTTCCAAATGATACATCAGTGAATATCATAGGAACAGATAGCAGGTATAATAAAATGACACAGAAAATGATCAAATTGCATTGTGCTTCTGTTTCCAATTGAAGTAATCTAATTCTATACAAAATAACAATGATCATGGCTCTCTTTCCTGTCCCTTAAACTTTTACCTGACTGTACATTAAAATGTAGGTTACTGCTAGTCCTAGAAACATATCAAACTTTATATCTCTTGCTTTCTACAGTAGCTTGTAACGAAGCTACATTCTTAAATGTTTTGATATTTTTTTATATCTCTTCCTTTTTACAAAGTCTGTGCAAAAGCTTTAAATTTAAGCATTTTTCAGCTGAGCCTTTTATTGAATTGAGTCCTTTCTCTGTGCTTTTATTTAATTCCCGAATGTCTGTAGTTATTGTATTGGGCAATTGACTTGTAATTTAGTTTTATTTTGCTTGATAAGTCACATTTTAACCTGAACTGGAGCATGTTGGTATGGTGAAGTTAGGAAAGTTTCTTCACTGGAAGATACCTTGTATTAAGAGTTCCCTAATCTTTACATCTATTTTTATATTTTCTCTTTAACAGGAAAGCACATTCATTAATATTTTAATTTTAAATAAACATTTTTCAGACCTTAAAATGACAGTAGCCTTAAGGTTCCATACTATATTATTTGACTGTTTGTTTTTTTGTTTTTCATTCAGATTCTTTGGATTTACAGAACATTTGCGACAATGACAGAGCTGAAGACACTACAACTGAAAAGGAAAGCAAAAAAAGCAAAAACAGAGAAATCGGAATAGGCTGATTACTTTAATCAAAGGATGCTGCATGTTTTCATGGACTTCTAAGGTGCTTATAGACCAAGGTACTCTAGCAAAAACTGGCTAGAAAATTTGAGATTTTTATCAGTGTTTCTGTATTGTAAACTTAACATTATGTTCAATTATGTTGATCACAAAGCTTTGTGAGTTTTTTAAAATAATTCTCATGACATTTCTTTTTGTTAATCAGGTTTGTGGGAAGCAAGTTGAATGTTGTAAGTACTGTCTTCGAGTAATGTTTTTAATGGACATCTTAACAACTTTAACTTGGTACAACAGCATTGTAGCTGAGATTATACAGAAAAATGAATTGGTCAAGAAGAAATTGTTGGTTTGATAGCAGACATGAGTTTTTTCTCTTGTGCCAGGTTCATTCTTGTATCGTCTATTATAAAACCTGGGTTTGTGTGGTTTGTGTTATAATTTTTTTGTATTTCTCACCTGGTCTGATATGAGCGTTAAATCTCAAGTAACCGATACAGTGTGACTGTGTTTACAGCCTCTCTTTCAGCTTCTGTTTAAACAACATGAAAATTGCTTCCAGACACAAAGTTCACAATACTGATTTTTTTTATAGCAAAAAAAATCTTTATTTAATAATCTAAAGAAGTTTATATAAAGATGGTCATGGCTTTTTAAGCTATGGATTTGCATTTCTATGGGTAATGATGCTGTGCAGTGTTGCTCCAGGTGTTCTATTCATTGAATCATTTACTGTTTCTGGAGGAGTAGACTTGTGTTGTCCTGGCTAAGAAATTTTAGAAGTATTCTTGTTTATTTCACACATGAAAGGGACATTTCACATTTATCTTTTGTGCCTCTAATATTATAAACTAAGCTTCTGAAATGTTATTGTGTAATCACTTTATTGTTTTTGCGAAATATAGCCAGTGTAAATATCTCAGGAAAAAATGGTTATTTTCTTGTTTGTAACAGGAAGGGGGATGTCAAAAATGGAATATTGGGAAAATCTGTACTCTGTATGCAGCTTGAATTATAAAAATACTAAATTTACAACATAGGACACTAATATTCAATTCTGGCCTTGATAGATAGATAAGTGTAAACTCCCTTTAGTCATAGCAATTGTAAATTAGCTCTGGATTAAGCAATTGCCTTCTGAATCGTACACCGAGGTAATCAGCCTCCACCTGGGTTCGACTGTAGCGGTTCTGATGATTGGGAAGATCTGTCACCCTTCTAGTTTTAAAACTGGTGGACAGCACTGGTCTGGTCTGGAATATCAAGACCTTGGAGACAGAGTATTCATCTGGGTTCTGTTGTAATACCTAGCTGTTGGGCGAGGATTAATATCACTATAAGTGTACAGAATCTCTTTCACAATTGTATAGTCATTTTGTGTGCAGGTGCTGCCTGCGTTTGCTGCACTTGTCTGTGTAACTATGAGCTGTTAAATGTCAGCAAAGTATGGTTTGATGGCTTCACCTACATTTGTTTCAGCACCAGAGTAAAGAGTTTCAAAACTATTGCAATAGCATGGAATCTATAAGGAAAAGAAGAAGGTGCTGTAAATGAATGCAGCATGTATTTAATAATACTTTCTTGCATTTTAGCACAGTAATTTTCATCCCAGTCCAGAGTGCTTTATCTAGAGCAGGAGGGGACCCCTTTTATCCACTACGATAGTGCAGCACCCACATGTGTGATGTGTGGCAGCCATTTGTGCATCAGCTGCACATCAGATCTGGTAGATAAAATTGCTTCACTCATTGAAGTAAGGGGGAACTTCAGGAAGGTCAGTGAAGAAGCCTTACCAATTATTCTTAGCATTCTTAGTGTAACATTTGTTGTTTTCTGCGTATCAGCTGTGATTTCTCATTTTTCAATATTTTGTGTGAAGCTGCCAATGAGCAGGTTCTGCAACAGAAAGGTAGCCAACTCCAACTGTCTCAAGGATGCTGTGGAAAATATGCTGTTATACATCTTACAAAACATGTATTATTGTTGGCCATAACTTACAGCTTAACCTTGGCTTGAAACCTATAAAATCTCTGTATATTCTGTACTTTCCTGAAACTGTTAGCACAACTTTCCCAAATTCATGTCCCCCGCATACCTGAATAAATAATTCTTTGTCCTGAAACTCAACTGTCTTTTCATTGAAGATTAAAGATTCTTCAGCCAGATCTTACAAGCTACCCAACCACGCATTTTCTAACATTTTTATCCCATTCAGAGTCGTGAAGGAGCTTAACCTGTCAAGCAGTATTGGACAAGACACTAGGCCATCCCGGGGCACCCACAGACTCAAACCCACACACTCTAAATCTAAATAGAGTCATACATATCTTTAGTGAAAGATCAGGGAGGGGTTCACCTGGGGATCATATTTCAAATGAGACAGGCTCTTTGAGTGCCATTCCAGTAAGCCGAATATGAAAGTTCCATCTGATTTCCTGAATTCCTGAATTTAATTTAGGCCCCTGCTGTCAGGCTGTCCTTTGCAATTAAGTTGAATTTGATGACAAAGCATGGCATGTTACATGCTGATGTATTGTTGTCACTAAGGCCCTCTAATGCAATTCTGTTTTAGCAAGCTGAGACATGCTACATTCACAGGGAATGGTAAAAAATACAGGAGAACCTGATACTCTGTAAATAAATCAATGTCTGAGAAAACATATCTAGGGAAAAAAGGAGCAGATTATTTACATGGGAGTAAATCTCAACAGTGACGGTAATTTTTTTAAATCCCCTGTTAATCAGGAGCTTTTATTCCCATAAGATAAGGCTGTGTACTTATATTGGTTTTTATTTTAGACCCTTCTTGCATTGGCAATAACTTGGAACTTACATGAAAGGCGATATCTAGTTAGAATGCTAGATGGCGCTATTGCACAGACAGTGATCACGTTAACTCTCGTATAGAGCATACAGTATTAAGACACTATTAATTGACCGCGTTTTACGCGTCCTGTTCTGGAACTAAACGCTACTTTGTTTTCAGAAAAGTAACCGTAACAGGACCATTTCAACTCTCTATTATCTTGTTACCAACAAAAGTAAAATTATTTCAGTAGGATTTAAGTACTTCGCTACACGGTGACAAAACACGGTCCTAAAAATGTTTCGTGACGTATGACGGCAGTGTTCCCGAGTTTGTATTTAAATAAGATTGCTGTTTTTTTACGATAAAAAGATGTTGTAAGTGCATAGGAAAAAGAACACCACTGAGTGTAACACGACTAGAAACAAACCTCTCTAAACTAAATAGCTGTATTATTTTAAAAGCAACAAAAGCAACATTCCAGTTAGGCCCTGGATGTTAATAATTGTTCACTGATGTACTTTGGTGCAATAAACCTTTACTTGTTCCACTGGGTATATAGGTATAGTTGTCATGTGTGGGTTTTTTAGATGGCATTAAACAATCTCTCTCTCTCTTATATATATATATGAGGTATCTTTCTTTTTCACAGAGCTCAGCGTGAAACACTTCGGTAGACAGCCAAGGCAAGCCACTGTTTGCTGTTGATCATTTTAAAAACGTTGCGACTACACCGCCCGTGAAGTTTTCTTTGAACACCTGTCAGTTGAATTTTAACGGAATTATCCTTGACCACCAGAGGGAGCTAACATTCCACCGCGTTAAACCGGCCAAAGAGCATATAAAAAAATCTTCACATCCCATTGAAAAAACTTCAGTTGAAAACATATTTAATGCATCTCCATCATAACAGTAATTATATTCATAGTAATATATTTGATTGTGATTTATTAATAGATGCGCATTATGAATTCAAGCGAGGAATTGCCACTTTTAAAAGCACTTTCGAAAAATCAGAAGTCACAAACCAAAGGAGAACAGTAGTCTCAGGTAGTCCGATTGGTAGTTACAGGTAGAAGCTAATTGATTCGAGTAGTACAAAATATCATTTCTAACTACAATGGCAACTTCCTTATGAAGCAGTAACATCTTTATAAGCAAAAAAAAAACTAAAACGGATGCATTAGGCTTGATTTCATGTCACAGTGAGTTGCTTCCTGGCTGCATTGATTCACGGATATTATAGTTCTGCAAAATAATTGCAATAACTCAAAAACAATTGCCACGGCAAAGCTATTGCTGTTTCGGGTAAAAGATAGTTGCAGTAATGGTTAAAAATATATATCCTTATTAAGTAACTGTACAGTATTGTAAAATTTGCATTTCATGGTTTATATAGAAAAAGTTGTACTGAGAAAAAAATATTCTTATTGTTCTTCTTCTGCCTGTTAGCAGTGTGCGATTTGCTGGAACATCATCATTCCTGTTTCCATACTCCCCATGTAATTTATCTACACTTCCCGGCAAACTGATAGCCCTCACTCCCCTCTGCACAATTCTCACCAGTCACATGGACAGCCTGCTTATCATTCCGGTACGTCCATTACAACATTTGTTAGATTCTTTAACTGGCGATATTGACTATTGCCATTTAATATCTTACGCAAACATTTCTCATAGTTTCGTATTCAATATTAATGTGCTTCTTAGAAAGCTGCATCATTCTAAAGTTACCATCATTCCGAGTGCTGATTTGACTTGCTTTTATTAATTGGTTTTGAATATGCTTTCAAGGTACTCCGTGGTCAAAACCACAAGGCAGAGTGCTTTCTAGGCATAAAGGTTCCGGAGAGCCACAGAGTCTTCTGGTTTTCATTCTAGCTGAGCATAATTGGATCAATCCATTTTTTTAAATTAGGAACCATTAACATGGTTTCCAGATCTCTGCTCACTGACCATTTAAGAGTTCGTACAAAGTCTTTTGTACAAAAGTGGTGATACAGACCCTTTGGATTAAACATTTTTCTTTTAGGGGCTTTTGTGGAACTTGTGGAACTGAGAGGCATACATCTTTTGGATTTCTTTTCCAACATGTAGATTACATGTAGATTACATGGCATTACACTGTAATTATTGGAACAATTCAAATCCATAGGAACTTACTGAGGTACTATATGATACAGAACACAAAACTCAAATTTCTGTTTCAGCAGAAAAATCAGAAAAGAAAAAAAACAGCTGTGATTTTTTATTTTATAAGAACAAATAAACTTAAATCCATAGCTAAAAGTGAAATTAGAACTGACTTGAAGATTTCTTTTACCCTAAGAACAGCCCACTTCTGCTCTTTTCCAGCATTGGTGCACAGTATTGATTTTTGTTAATCCGGTGCACAGGGAACAATTGTACTTTTGTTTTCTCTCTCTGAATGTATAAGGACACAGGTGCTGGTGCTGAATGGGCTGTGTGTGGTTAATAATGACAATTTTAATTATTTTTGGAAGTAGCAATAACTGGGGCGAAGTCCTGCCTTGTGCTCTGTGCTTCTGGGATGGGCCCTGTTATGGATAGAAATGAGGCAAAATAAACAAAAGTAAAGGTATAGGCTTTACAAAAATACTACGTTAACTTACAGTATATTTCTGTGATAGATTTCCAAACACATTCCACGTTTAAGTGCTTATATGGGCCCCTAGCCACAGAAAAAAATACATTTTTTTTAGTAATGATACATTCAACCAAGGCATCTTAGGTTTGTACTAATTTATGCAGCAGGACTTTGGACTGTACTATTCTAGGTGAAACACATTGATCATCAACACCCAACATTGCAATTGGACCACCAACCTTTCTAGTTGATAATGGGAGACTCTAATTATCTAATCCTCTCATTGAGAGCTAAGCATGCTCATCGAAATGTGTTGCTTTACCCTGAATGCAAGGTGACATGCAATAATCCTGACCAACTAGGCCAAACAATATCAGTATTCTTTATACTGTAGCATATTAGAATTCCTTTGCTCTAGCAACTCTAGCATGGTATTGTAGAGCAACAAACTCACAGTAAGGTCGTGCATTGCAGAATCTGTGTGTACTGCTGCTCCTGAGTCCTTCTCAACTTTTACTTGATGTGTGCGTGACAGAAGATCTTCAGATGAGTGAACTGGCTCTCAACACGTGAATACAGCTTTCAAAAAGAGTGAATGAATAAAAACAAATATAAAGAAATGTGTCTATGCAGACCTACAACGATAAATAAAGATGACAGCTGTTGTATGAAAGAGCTAAGAACTGAAATGCAAAGTCTAAAGAAATTAGAAAATGAAAGAACCTTGAAATGTAAATGAAGTGTTTATTTGCTGCATTCAAACTGAGCCTTTTTGCTGTTGACCTTATTGCCTCTGCCACAACCATTATTCTACACTCACCTTTTCAGTCACCATTTGCTACTCTTGAAAGCAGCAATTCCATCCATTTATAAGGACCCTGCCTATCGCTGTTACCGTGGTTACCCAGTCAACACATCCTGACTCAACAGCCTTCCTATTGAACCTGACGTGCTATGACGTCAGTCTTATTTTCACTGGGGAACTCAATCTGCAATTGTTAATTGTATGAAAGCAACTTCATAGTATGCTACACCTTTATCTGTGCTTCATGATGAAAGCTAGTCCCAAATTATAAATGTTGTACCTCATATAGTCTGGAAATCTACCAGAACTGATATGTCACCCGGAGCTAAACTCAAATACATGGTACACCATGACCAAAATTCCCTTTTGCCCCTTAAAAAGAAAAAAAATTTTATGGAAGAATATTTCTATAACAAACGATGATAGGAGAACATCACTTTATTGGCCATATACAATTTCTTGCATTAGGAATTTGTCTTTTTACATACCCCAGCTTGCTCTCCCTGAGACACACAGGCAGGGAGAGAGAAGCTTGGGGTCAGAGCACAGGGTCAGCCATTTATACAGTGCCCCTGGAGCAGCTGGGGTTAAGGGCCTTGCTCAGGGTCCCAACAGAGTAGGATTCCTCTGCCAGCCATGGGACTTGAACCAGCAACATCCCAGCCACAGTGCCTTATTCACAGTGCCACCGCTCCACCCAGATAGATAGAAGATAGAAGAAAAGGCCATTTAGATAGAAGATAGAAGTAAGAAGATTTAGATATTATATTGGAGATTTTAAAATGGCTTTACTTCTTCTATTACCTGTGCACTAAGGTCACCTTATGGACATTTTCAAACCCTTCCTATGGTGTGCCATTTCATGAAATGACACATTTGATAATAAAGAAGTTCACTGGGTTG